CTCTTAAAAGCAAGTCACAAATATGAAGTTTCATTGTTAGAATAAGCTCAGCAACTTCCTCAGACAGCTGGACACTGTAGCTTTTTGCAAACATTACTCAAGTGCATAGTGCATTTATTGGGGACTGTTACCATCTATGGATTAATATGCTTTACACACGTGCACCGGTGAGTATTTTTGGCTCTGGCATGGTGTGTGTGGGATCAACTCAAAATAATCTACAGTAACCATGTTAATCGTGATAAAGGAGCATGTCACCCAGTAACTGTGTGGCTAATTTATGGAGATAGAAGTGATCAGACCACACGGAAAATGATTTTAAGTGGGATCAGTTCATTAATAGTTTTGGTCTTTTCATGGGATTTATTAAAATAGAGGAATATAGAATATTGCCAGCCTTTTCCTTGTAAGCGACATACAAGATTAAATAACTGTGACTTACAGTAACTGTTTTTGTCTCTTCTCCAATTTAAAAGATGTGCTTCCTTCTTTCAGGGATGAACACGTTGATCGGTTATGATCTGGTACCTGAGCCAAAGATTCTCGAGGCAGCACTGAGAGCCTGTCGGAGGTTAAACGACTTGGCCAGCGCTATCCGAATTTTGGAAGCTGTAAAGGTGAGAGGTGGGAGAGAGGTGGGAGAGATCTGGGTAATAATTTGGGGAATGTTCCCAACCAGCATCTTTGCCGTTGGTAGCTGCAAGTTAATGATCAATTGGTGTTACCGTTTGGTATTTCCTCAGGACAAATCCGGCCCTCATAAAGAGATCTACCCGTATCTGATCCAAGAGCTGCGGCCAACATTAGATGAGCTCGGCATCTCTACACCTGAAGAGCTCGGCATCGACAAAGTGTAGACAAGTAGGTGTTAAAATTCTCCTGTCAGCTGTGTTGTTTTCACCATGTATGTCATAACATGTCAATCTAACACAAGTTTCGTTTGCTCTGTTTCAGATCCAATGACGGTGGATATCCTCAGTACACAGAACTCATGTACTTTACTGTTTGCCTCATATAATACGTGTGATATTTAATTTGGCCTTTATTAAGTTCTTTTGCTTGTAAAATATTGATGAACCTAATAAAGGAAAATGTGTCTTTGAGTGTCGCAAGTACTTTTGGGATTTTTGAAATAGTTTGAGTGCTGACTCAATTCAATACCAGTTGCTTCAATAGAGAGCAGAGCGCCACTTCATGGTTCATGTTGACTTGGTTTGTCTGGATTTTCTTGTGAGAGTCACATTTTGCCACCAGGGAGCAGCGTTTTCACATGAATGTAAAAATCATTCTACTGTATCAATCTATATTTCATCTGTTTTTCATTTCAGGGAAAATTTTATGCTTGTAAAATAAACTTGTTCAAATGGCAAATGGTGTAATAATGTTATTATCAACACATGACTGGAATGTTGACCATAATGGGTTTTTATACAAAGATTGGGACAGTGTATACAGTATTAGTCCATGGTCTGTTGAGAATTTAAAAGACAGTGGGTTAGTTATGTTAGATGGATAATAGATTATTTTAATTTTAGTTATGCTTATTAACACCATGGACGCTACCTTTTATTGGGATTAGCAAAATGTACCTCCTAGGTGTATTAGTAGAAGTGTTTAGTGGGGCTGTGTCAAACTTAATTGTAGTTGTACCATTTTGAAATGTGCACACTTATTCAGTTGTATTCTCTTTAAAACAAAAGATGTACTTAATAGTAAGATATTTGATATAAAGTGAACTGAGTTTTGTCAATACCTCATTTCATAATCTCACATTTCACCCCAGGCTATACTACAACTAACCAGACTATCGGGGAATCATAACATCTCACTCCTTGTGTTTAACTCTACACCATACATTTTTTGTTTGTGTTACAGATATAACTGCTTTACCATTAAATAGCAGACGTGTGTATCTAGTTTTTGTCACATTTTGAATGCACTGGCTTACAAGACCTCCAAGATACAGGTAGAAATGTCCAAAATAATACAGTCATTGACTGCTAGAGCAGTGGTGCCCAACTGGTCCAGCCACGGGGTCCAGATTTCTCGTTAGTCATTAGTTCAAGGTCCACGAAGTTTAATATATCCAGTGTTATACTTGTGTTTGGCCATGTAATTGAGCTAGTTTGCTGTCTCTGTGAAGTAGCTGTTTATTTATTCACTCTAAAACAGCACTGTAAAGTAAAAGCTCTGTGCTGGAAATTCACTGTACTTAAACATTAAGTGTGTGCTTTACAAACATGACACATTTGAGAGTCACTTGTGGTCCATTCAGAATGGACCCACGATCCACAAGTTGGGAACCACTGTCCTAGAGTGTGTGAACAAGTTATGTTCTTATTTAAATAAAGAGTCTGCTCAACAATCTCAAAGGAAGACATTTTGAGATTAATGAAAGAATGAATTGAATCCCTCATTTTGCTCATATTCTGTTTTCAGTAAGGTCAGATCATCAGCATCTGCCTTCGGCCTGTGGTCAAGCAAATGTTAAAAGAGACCTCAAGTATTTCTCTTGTTTGAGCTCCAAGAAACCAACTAGAATGAAGTTGAACTATCTGCAACACATCTTTTCATTAATGCCACTACGAATATCCTCCTGAGACCCTGTGTCCTCATGTAAGGACATCACATTTTGGCTTTGTTGCACCATATAGTTCATTCTGCTTAATTTAGACCTGTTGTACTTGTTAGTGGACATTTTTTGTGCTGGTGGTAGTGAGAGCACAATATGTTACTCCATGAAAGAGCAAGATGGCAGCCATCTCTGCCAAGTGAGTCTGCAGCTGATCCTGACACAAAAGTGGAGAAGCTACAAAACCGGATCACATTTTATGGTTGAGACGTGTTTATGTTTAATGTTTGTAGTTTGATATTGCATATTGCATACTGCATATTGACCAATTAAGTACTTGGTAGTGGACATTGGGACTTTATTATTGCAGCATTTCACACAGGTCAGTTAGGTGTTACAGACTGCTCCTACAGACAAAGCTTGGAGACATTCCTAGCTTGGACTATGGAGCAAGGAAAAATCATACAGAGTTACAAATGAACAAATGACAGTTTAGTTTTTGCACAGCTGTGTTCAGGCATTGAAATAAACAGTTTTAGATTTGAGCAGTGATCTCTTACCCATAGAGTTGCAAAACAATGTTGCATTGTTTGTTAGTTTGTTTTTGTACAGCAATGTTCAGGCATTGGAATTGACAGTTTTATATTTTATTACACACTTGTGGCAATTACAAATAAACCCAATGTTCCTGTGTGAGGACATAATTTAGTTCAAAAACCACTTTCTGTTTCAAGACAATGCTCAGTTTTTCATACTTATAAGATCCTACTGATCCCAAATAGCGAGGAGAAATTATAAGTGCATTGTTTAAAAAAAAAAGTTCGGGTCTCGGGAGGATATAGGAATTAAAGATGGTCCTTTGGGGGGGGGGGGACTCAAAATATTAGATCTGCAGTACCTAAAACAGATCTGCCAGCCTCTGCTACACACTTTATGCTCAGAGGGAATACAAGGAATTTGCTATGATGCATTGGTGTTATCAGCACTAAACATAGTAGGAGAAGATATAAACAAGTACGACAGACAATCAAGAACATAAATTTAGAACAGGAAAAAATGCAAAACAATTAGAAAAAATACTATGTGCAATAAAAAAAGAAGAAAAGAAATGTGTGCAGTATTTTTGGAGTTAGATCTTCAAAACACTAGCAGATGTCTTTTGAATGAAAATCCACCCAGATCCTTTGACGACCATCTTTGGCATAGCAGGAGAGAAAAATAAGAATCTTTTGGGATCTAAACTTGAAATGATGAAATTAAATTAATTAATTAATTAATCCTTCTCCACTGGAAGAACCCTCGACCACCAAGCTGGACTCAGTGGTTTAGAGAAGTGATGCAACATCTCAAACTTGAGAGACTCACATTAAATGGCTCTTCTGATAAATTCATGAGAATTTGGAATCCATTCTTGGAATATATATAAGCCAGATATATTTTAAAAAAAACACTTTCTTGATAACTCCGCATGAATTAAGTCATATTTAATTAAATTATTTATATATTTTTTTTTACATCTTGTAGCCAATCACAACAGGATGGACCCTGATAAGGCCTCCATCTTCTTCAACTGCCTGTTTTTTTTAATGGTTCTGTGCATATCTAGTTATCTGAGTTATCTGTATATATGTGTACATGTGCATATGGTTACCTTTTTTTCTTTTTCCATTTATAATGTTGTGCAGCAGTCTAATTTTGTTTAAAAACCTTTAAAAATAAGTTTAAATATGTCCAGTATATGTGAATGAGGATGACAGAGCTGTGCAGCTTTATTTGCATCCAAATCAAATTCCTGTTTAATGTACTTAATGCTGCTCCACAGAAAAAAGGACAATGACTAATGAGCCGTGACCTAATAGCCAGACTGAATTTCCATGCATGTTTTCTGCTGTGAAATGAAACCAATTCAACAGAGAAGGGAAAAGAAAGCGTTCTGTGGGTGTAGAGGTCAGGCCCATTTGCTGTGTAAATGAATCAGCTCCAGACTAAAATAATGTTTGTCATATTTTTAGTAGAGGTCGTGTTTACCTCAATAACCATAGAAGTATATAGGATAATAGCAGTGGGTGGGATTTCCTTGTGAAGTGGGAGGGTAGTTCCACGGAAAGGCTATGCGGGCGAGAAGACCCACTTTACGAGCTTTACGCACGGGGCGGGCCTTTCATTCATCCGAGTTGGGGGTGTAGGCCACTCAGTCAGAGACAATCAAAGATGTTTGAGTTTCCATGCGCAGTGACCAGGGAGGTAAAGCGCAGAGCAGTGTTACCCCTCCTCCAGCTCCGATCAATCCGGCCTCCACACACTGCTGGGGCTTTTTTAAATCACGTTTGATCAGAGGAATCTTTCTTTCTGGTTAACAAACTGGTCATGCGATGCGATTTATTTCTACCGGAGGGAAGACGGAAAAACTAGATAAGACCTGTTGGCGATGATGGATTACTCAAAGGCGCAAATGGTGAGTGTCGACGGCTTGGTAACGCTCCCACTCGTGTTTGTTACAGTAACAAAGCAAATGGCGATTAATGTAGAGCCTTTAGGAGCATTTGCACCTTAATGATCCAATTTTCTCTTCAGTTATTAACCAGTTAAGTGTTTTTTCCTGATGACTAGTGTAGGCCTTGTTTTCGCATTTATTGCACTGTGAAATAAAGTTGCATTTCCATTTATAAAGAATAGATTCATGATATAACCTAATTCTGATTTCGTTTAAATGTTTAACAAAGTGGGGACTTTGTTAAAATCTTGAGGAGAAACATTTTGTTACAGGTTGCTAATTTATTCTAAATTACTTTAATATATTTTCTGTTAATTATTGTCTCAAGCATCAAGCTTTGTTTCACCTAATCCAACATTACTTTGCTTTCTGAAGCTCACACATCTTTTTTTAACTATCACTTTAACATGACTATTTGTTTGTATCCCAAAACAAATATGTCTGACTTTATTTAGACACTTTACCTGGTATTTAAACAACAATTTTGTAAAGTTTAATTTGCCTTTTTGTACCTGTTCAATGCAGTTCCCTTTATTTATTAATAACTTTGGATAATTTGCTTCAGTTTATAAAACCAAAGGCACCCAATCAAACATTTTCTTAATAAAGTTTGTGATTTGTATTTTTGTCCATAGTCAAGCTCACTTGAGCAGAGCGGTCCACCGTCTGGTAACGCTGCAGTGAAGCTGGAGGCAATGATGGAGCATCTGCAGAGACAACAGGAGGCCAAACTGGAGATGAACCTGCATGAGAAGCAACTTCTTCACGCCCAGCTCCTCTTTGCTCAACACGCCGCTGCAGCCAGAGCCTCTGGCTCCAGAGTAGACTCTGCATTATTTGGCAAAGCAGATGGACAGACTTACCAAGCGGCTCAACAGGCTTTGAGCAGCCATCTCAGCAGAACAAATCCAGATGAGGAAGATGAAGACTCGGATGAGGAGGGACAGGAAATGGTGGAGCCTGAAGAAAATGACGAGGCAGAGGAAAACAATGAGGAGGAGATGGAGGACGGGCCTCATCAGCAGGCACAGAAGCCTCAGCTCCAGCAGGTTGCAGGCTTCCCATTCCCTCCTTATTCTACACCACAGACATCTGCAGTGAAGCAAATGTCCCAATCTCCACCCCCGGCAATAAAACAGGAGCATGAGGAGAAGGAGCTGCTGTCTCCTGCAGGCCAGCACGCCTTTACATCACCTAATGGCTTCGCTGACTGGGGCTATGATGAGCCATTTAAACAAGTAAGTTACTGCACCAATCAAGGCCATATTGTTTTTCTTCCTTCTGTATTTTACCATCTTTTATAGTGAACATTTCCTCTCATAAATTACAGATAAATCCTGTCTTTGCTTGAAAACACCATAGTTATTAAAACCCATCTTTACAGAGAGGAGATCAACATGTTTCTCTGTGTGTGTGTGTTTGCTGGTGTATGTTCTAATTCTTCCTATTAATTGTTGACTTCTTCCTGCTGAGAGTCAGGCTCGCTGCTGCCTCCCTCTCTCTCACGTGTGTGTGTCCCTTTGGCAAGATGCCCATACTTGATAGTGTTTAATTACCGGCCAGGCCAGAGATTTCTCCGTCTGCTATACTTCACCTCGTGTCTCACACTTTTGAAAATGCATCCCCGCTACTGGGTGAGCTAATTGGTCTTGGCCGTGGTCCAATACTCACTGTTCAAAGCAGCCGGTTCAGGCCTGACAGAGATGAAGTTAAAATGAGAGCGGAGGATTAATGAAATGGCCTGAAGCATGTATTTATGGGCAAGGTTGGCTTCAGGGGTTAACTACTGTAAGGAATGGCCTGGTAGGTGGGTGGACTTGTCTTTCATTGCATCAGGCAGATCTCCTTTAAACATGGCAAAAGATGATCTTAAATATAAAGGTAGTATCTTGGAGTATGTTTTCCGACATATGTGTGACTCCTTAAAGCAAACAGAGAGATTTTTCTTCTTCTTTATGGAGACCAATCTGATTGGTTCCTCTCTGTGTGTGTTTCCCTTGAAAAGGCCCTAAGCCAATACAATACATTATGATTAATGAGGCCTGTGGCCAGAGGGACAGCTGGGGTAGTGCCTCACAGCATACCAGCAAGCGACTACCCATAAAGTTTACTTTAAGTTGTTATAGTGGAGCAGTTTGGACTTTTGGTATTTCTTATCAGATTTACACACCTCTTTTTCATCATTTAGATATATTTCATATTTGCTTCTGCATTTCTTTCCCCTCCATTGCCTGACTTTTGGTGGAAGTTACATGTAGACAGAAATTTAAAAAGAGTGTTGATTTGCCTCTTTTTAAAACCTCGACAGGCTCAGAAACCTCTCTGCTGACGTAGCCCAGTGGATAGCTTTGTATAATTAAGCCATCGCTTGGCAACACTTAATGGTAGCTCAATTCAACTGCACGTAATCAATACATTATATGGCCACTGTAGTGAGAATTGCATTTCCTTTTGTGAGACCGGCACACAACACCTAGGGCAAGGAGGAGCATTTGTTCAGCTTTAATTAAAGCACAATAAGGAGTTTTTAGAGGCTGCTGTGAAAAGACTTTAACTGGGTGTGTGACATGGTTTAGATTTTTTTTCCAGCGCTTAAAGCACAGGAAACATCTTAGAGGCTTAATTTACCTCAGGAACAAATGTAAGGGAAGCGTTTGCTTTGACCCATTTGTGTCAAGACTGAGGAGGGATTGCTTGTGATATTTAATTTAATCCTATTCACCTATGTGTTAAGTTAAGCTAAAAGCTGTTATAGATTTCTTGACCATTGCTAACGGGTTTGTTGTGAACATTATAAATATGTGCAAGCTGTTGTAATACAGCCTATAACCAGACACAGTTAAAAATGCTTTCTAAAAATGTAGATGTGCTTGACTTTTCAAGTGATTTGCAATGACACTGTCTTATGTTACATGCATGTAAATAAGTTCACTTTGCGAGTCATTGTGTGGCTGGTTGAAATGGTTGTAATGATTTACTCTTGTTACTGTCTTTTCTTCCAAAAATGGGATCCTCTTTACTACTTCTTTAATGTTTTCTTTCAGTCGTTACATTGATGAAACATCTTTGAAGATCCCTACATGGTGTACAGGCCTCACCATGCCGGGCAGCTATTGTTCACTCCCTGTGTGCCGTCTCACTGTACACCCTTAAATGCAGCATGGGCGGGCACAAGAGGCCCCTGTTTGCTCACAGTTCCAGCTCACAGCACAGCAAGGGGCCAGATAATTTATCTTGACTTGTTCGGGTGACTAAAGACCCAATAATTTGATTTGGATTAAAAATTTGCCCCCCCTGTTGTTACATTAACATTTGGAGAGGGATATGTTTTCACTGTTGACTGAATGATTTGAATGAAGCTCATTAGAAGTTTCAGGTTAGTGTTGTTTGAGTACTTCAATGGGACATTTTAAATTAAGTTATGTTTTTTTATCTTGACTGGTTGAACTTCCATACTTCTGCAGAACTACTTTGTTAATCTGATGATTTAATGTAATTTGAATATATTTAAATCCTTATAAAAACTAGCATTATTTAACAAAACAAAAGAAACCTTTCCCTGACCTACATACTGAATTCTATCAGGATTCCCAGGGCTCAATGTGTGAAAACTCTGTGAGCACTTAACTGAGGGCTCTTTGTTAATAAAGCCACAGTAGGTCTCACTGGCTCATCAATAAGGGGGGATGGGTTTTATTCCCATTTCATGGTGAAAGACTGGGATGTTTATCTACATTCACTCCAATAAGCTTTCTGCTGGGGGAGTCCTTTATTGGAAATTCTAAACAGAAGCCATTAGATGTGTCCACAGCCCTGCCACCACAGGGGCAGTGTAATGTGTGAAGTGGATACCTGCAGTTACACTGTTAAACAACTAAAAACAGGTAGAGAATATAATTTTCAAGAGGAAGAGGTTGTGCTTAAAAGAGTCCATTACAACATTCCCAATGCGAGGGACAACTTACTTCTGCAGTGAGTGGTAGAAAGAAAAATAAGTTATCAAAAATCTGCTGTCAGCTGTATCACCTGTGTTGTGGTTTATAGTGTGTGTGAAAGTTAACAAGTGAGCAGAGAGGTTGGAGCAGTTGAAAGTAAATGAAAGTAAATCGTTTCCTGAAAGCAGTACATAAATGTTTGATATAGTTAGCCAGGTGTAACACATAAATGGTTGAAATGCTTACCTGAAAGTAGTTTAGAAGTGGCTGAAATTGTTACCTAAAAGTAATGTATAAATGGTTGAACTGTTGGCTAAAGATAATGTATGAATGGTTGACATGGTTCATAAAAAGTAATGCAAACATAGTTGACATATTTAGCTTAAAGTAATGTATGAACTGTTAAAATCGTTAGTTAAAGGTAATGTATAACCAGTTGAAATAGTTAGTTAAAAGTGATGTATAAATGTTAGACATAGTTTGGTAAAGTAATGTATAAATGGTTAAAGTTGTTAGCTGAAGGTGATGCTGTATATAAATAATTGAAATGGCTAAAGGTAATGTATAAATGGTTGAACAGTTGGCTAAGGATAATGTAAATAGTTGACATGGTTCATAAAAAGTAATACAAACATGGTTGACATATTTAGCTAAAAGTAATGTATAAACTGTTGAAATAGTTAGCTAAAAGTAATGTAGAATGGTTAAAACAGTTACCTTAAAGTAATGTATAAATGGTTGAAATAGTAAGCTAAAAGCAATGGACAAATGGTTGACATTATCTAAAGTTAATGTATAAATGGTTAAAATAGTTAGCTGAAAGTGATATATAAATAATTGACATAGCTAAATGTAATGTATAAATGGTTGAAATAGTCAATTAAAAGTTGTATGTACTTAGTTGAAATAATTAGCTAAAAGTAATGTAGAAAAGGTTAAAATACTTAGCCAAAAGAAATACAGAAGTGTAAGTAATTTAGAAATGGTTAAAACAGTTGCCCAAAAGGCAAGTGTATATATAGTTGACATAGTTCGCTAAAAGTAATGTGTATGTATAGTTGACATCGTAAGCTAAAAGTAATGTACATACAGTTAGCTATAAGTAATATGTATATATAGTTGACATAGTTAGCTAAAAGTAATGTGTGTATATATAGCTGACATAGTTAACTAAAAATAATGTATAAATGGTTGAAATAGTCAATTTAAAGTAATGTACATATGGTTGAAATAGTCAATTAAAAGTAATATAGAAATATAAGCAATTTAGAAATGGTTAAAACTGTTAGATTAAAGTAGGCTAATGTATAAGTGGTAAGTTAGCTGATGGTAATATATTGATAGTTAAATTAGTTAGCTAAAAGTAATGTAACAATGGTTGACTTCAAGTGACTTCTGATCTGTGGGCCCCTCAGACAACACATGCTGGGAACCTCTGTTACAATATAATGCAGCTGTTTGTGTGCCAGCATTTGCAGTTTGAGTGGTGTTGTTACTGTAAACATGAGGAGAGTTACAGTTGGACTGGAAGCCAACAGATTATTGGTTCCCACGTATTTTGTAGCTCACAGGTTGAAATATTATGGGTGTTAGCCCTGATTCAGATCAGGTTGCCACGCCAAACACTTAATAAATGGAGTAATATGTTTTAAGTACTCAATGATACATTTAAATGCAAGTATCAAGTAAAAACTTTATCGGGGACAACAATGAAAGACAAAAACAAATCACAAGCATGACATTTGAAGCATTTGATCCTGTGAAACACAATAACATGTTTGTTGCTGAAAGTACTCATGCTTGTTTTAATAAAAAACATACCATTCAGTCCTTGTTTTATGTAAACATGTGAGCCCTTATAAGCATACAAAAGCAAATCAATCAGAGATATTCAAGAATAAATCAGGGTGACATTTTATAAGCTGCAACTAGATCCACAATAGTCCTTAAATTAATGTATTGTAATGTTTGTTTTGACTACAGATAGGAGAGATAACAGGAAAAAACATCACCTACTTAATGTAATTGTAATGACAGACCATTCTTACGACTGTTCCACCACGGTCGATTTTCATACTTGCGTCATCATGCAGCTCTCTGTGTGCGTTAGCAGGACAATACCATCTCAGCAGGCTTTTCCACACAGTTGCACACAGTTTCCACGCACTGCCCTCTTCTGACATTTTTAACCTTTAACTGTCTTGCCAAGGCAGAAGTGATGGAGGAATAACATGTCACATTAAACTACTTAATGAGCATGGGGCCTTTCAATAAGCTTCCTTTTACTGTGCCCAGCTTTAAACTGACACTCCCTTTGAGACATATAAGATAAGATAAACCTTTATTGACAACCAACCAGAGGGGAAAATTGGGTTGTTGCAGCAGTATGAGGACAGAAACAAGCTCTGATAATTAGAGAAAAGTAAAAGAAAAATAATTAGAAGTATGTAAAATATAAACAGAAATAAAAATAGAAGCCATACAAGAGCAAACTCAAAATTTTAAAGCATTTAAAGTGCCCATGACCAGTATTGTACTCCCTGTTGATGTGACTGGTAGTTGCAAAGTCAGTAAAGTGTCTGTAAGAGTAATGTAATACCATCTACTAAAATGGCATACACAAGAATGATATACAATATGATTAACTAATAATAATGTGTTATTCTGCATAACATAGAAATATGATATAGTACATAATATGAAACAGTATGGCATATTAACACTATATAGAAGGAGATATCACACATAAGGGGAAATGTTTTTACATAGTGTAACACAATATATGGTATATGATATAACATGTAACATATAGTATGCATTACAGCAGCACCAGCTGGTTAATGTCTGACTGTTCCTGCAGTAAATGCAGATTTCAGCGCTGGGAAAAAAGCAGGATTGGACACATGAGGTGGGAACAAAGTCCAGAGTCCTTGAGGAAATCATAAAATAAATAAAGAGAAGCTTTAAATAGAAATGGTATCTCACTGAGGGTTATATATAATCCATAGTACATTACTATATGTATATCAGTTTTTAGTCGGACAAAAGCAATTCAAGTTACTCATTGTAGTGCAAATAGTACACCATGCTCATTTCACAAAGGTTACGCTCTCTAGGATATATTAAGATGTGAACCTGACTTGTGACAGGTGTAGCCAAGCACCGGCGAGCCATGTACACATGTTCTGGTCTTATCCTGCATTACAGGGGAGAAATCTTTAGATCACTGTCGAGGGTTACTTGAAAATCTGTTGAACCTAATGCTATGATTCCATTGTTTGGTTTAACTCCACCCACAGTATCACTCTCTTCCCATGGGGAAACTTTTACAACCTTTGTTACCTTATTAGCCAGACACTTGGTGTTACTCATGTAGAAGTCCCCAACACCTCCTTCACACACACTATGGATGAGGGAAGTCCTCAATTTTGTCAAACTGGAAAGAATCAGGTGCATAATAAAGGGCTCCCTGAGGACATTTTGCATGATATGGGATCCCTTTTTTGACGATATACGAGAGCTGGACTTTGCAGATATTCCTGCATGATTGATCAACTATTTTAGAGACATTAAATTGTGATGTGACAGGCAGTTGTCCAACCAACGACAATTATATTATGTTTTAGTATTTTACGTTCTTTTTATCATCATACACTTGTTTTCACATATTTATATATTTCAATTTCATTACTGTGCTGTTTTGGGCTTGTTCGGGGTACTGATTTGATGTGTAATATTTGTTTTAGACCTATCTTGGTTTTGTATTGTTCTTACTTTACTTACTACTTACTTTCTTGTTGTGTCACTATTGGATTGACCAAATATTATTGTGCTTTCTATTTGCTTTATTTGGAAGATTTAAATATACAGATTTTGGGGAAAATACTCTTGAATTCATCACATGAACCTGACATAGTGTTTGTGTTTGCTGAAGTTGTTTGTGTGTGTATTTACAGAGAGGAAGTGCCGTCTGGGCTGAGGACAACGATGGAGGAAGAGGAAGAGGAGAACCATCTCGGGACTTTGCCAAGGTCAGTAGAATTAGTAGATGTATGTAAACAAAGAAAATTGCTGAAATAATCACAGAGTAATTGTTGACTATCTTGTTGCTGATGTTTGTTTTTTAACCCACAGCTTTATGAACTGGATAACGACCCACAACGGAAGGAGTTTCTGGATCAGCTGTTTGTCTTCATGCAGAAACGAGGTGAGATTCAGAGTTAGAGCCTTGTTGTTTAACAAATCATTTTGGTTTTGTGAGCAGCTGAGGCAGCATCAAATAAACAAAGTAGAGTTGTTCTAGACAAGTTGCTGATAGAGTGCTTTTTTATGTCAACGTGATGTTTATTTGTCAATGATGGCGTGACATTTTTAGAGCAGGGCTGGTATTGTAGCTGATCCTACTGCAAGTGAATTCAACAACGTGCTGTAGCGTTAAACCCACAATCAGGATGTGCTGGTCAAGTTTTAGGATTGACTGATCTTTAAATGAGTTGAAAACTCTTTGCTTTTAAAAATGATTCACCCCCTTTCGTTTGTTTTATGTAGAATTAAACCAACCCATGCAGCATAGGTTGAGTGAATAGTTCACGTTCAGCTAAATTATTCTGAGAATATGAAGTGAGATATCACATATACTCTATAGATGAACATCTACTAAAGGAAACAGTTGCATAACTCACAGATGGGTCACCTGAACCAAGAGTCTTGTGCTGAGGGATCAGATGTAGCTAAGAGTAGCTGACTAGTAGATCAGCTGGCTGACTCTGGCTGCTGACACTGCCATCACTGGGTTCAGTTTACTTTTTATGTACTTACATTTGGCTTATACTTGTACTTAATAATTTGATAGAGACATACTTAAGAAAAGTATAATTAAGTATTCTTGCCCTGTACAGAAGGTTTAAGCAAGTAAGTTTAAGTTTCATCAGAACTGTTGAATAGCATTGTGTGAACTCGGAAAATGTTGCAATGTTTGATTTAGTTAAAAACAGCTATTTTTACACCATAAATCACGATTAACAATAGATGTAGCTGAAATAAATTGAGGTTGCAGTTTATGTTTTGTCTGCACTTTCAACCCTACAGTGTCAAGTTTTGTATGTTGAAGACAAATATGCAGATAAATGTCGTCCATCCCAGTCAAACAGACGCGATGCAGCAGGACACTGTCTGTGATCTTTACTCGTGTGTGCAAAGGTCATAGCCGTAGTAGATGTGTGTGTCTGTGACATGTGTCCATCTTAAAGACAGAGTGATCTTGTCGACTGCTTTTATATCCTCTTTGCTTAATTGGCTTTGCTCCAAATCGGGATTGGAAGGGTTAGCTGTCAACCCTGTGATTGGCAGGCACTGCTGGCTCTATAATCACCCCTCCCCCCCCGCGCTCAATCAATGCAGCAACAGAGCTGCTGTTGTGGAATTATCCCCACCCCCATCCATCTGAAATGAGCTTCATTAGAGAAGTCTGTCCGCACAGATTATACATGCTAAGCCATATTACCCAACATTAACCTCAGGCCCTCAGGTGGGGAAATCCGAATAAGTTTTCCGCCTCTTTTTGCTTTTACAAGACCACTTTTGTTTTATGCAAACTTCTCAAGAATTGAATTCAAATAAAATGAACACATTTAATTGTATTTTTCCTCTTGTTCACTCAGGAACTCCTGTCAACCGCATCCCCATCATGGCGAAGCAGGTGCTGGACCTGTACAGGCTTTACAAGCTTGTGACAGAGAAGGGAGGCCTGGTGGAGGTTATTAACAAGAAGATCTGGAGGGAGATCACCAAAGGTCTCAACCTCCCCACATCCATCACCAGCGCAGCCTTTACCCTCCGTACCCAGTAGGTGTCTCTCTCTGAGAAAAACTGAAAAATTTGTCTTCAAAATAAATCAAAGGAATAAAATATGCCCCAGTATGAAAAAGTAGCTGAGAATGACTGTCATATGATTTAATATTTTGTCCAAACATGAATTAAAGTCTCTCTAATGGGTTAAAACTTAATATCCTGGAATGCTTGCAATTAGTATTTCACATTTGGTTTTATTATTTTATTGAACAATGATTAGAGTAATAATTATAATTAAATGCAATATGACTTCAGCAGTCAGCATGTTACCACATTAATAAATAGCCGTCTATTTCCAACCTTATTAGAGAGACAATAATTGTATTTTAAGAAATTATCACATAATATAGTAGATAGTATAAAAGATTACATTTCGTGCTCCAAGAATGACAAAATTATTAAAAAAAATGTCCATTATTTTAAGATAAACCCACCAGCTTTGTTCTCTTCTGATCAGTTTAGAAGTGTTTACATGATGTGTGCAAGTCCACATGTAGTAGTAATCATGTGATGTCACAGTTTCGGCCTCTCTGTTTGCTTAAACTTGGATGTTTCAGTAATAGTCAGCCCAGATTTCTTAGTACTATTTACAGTAGGTGACATTCAAAGTCACATGAGTAAGTAAAAAAACATTTCTCAACACTGAAATGTTGAATTCAAATTCTTGTAATTACTGATTGGGCACATTAAATGTTTGATCTTTTCCACCCTATTTATTTTGAAATAGGGTGCGTTCTGAATCGCATTCTTTATCTTTTTACTTTTAGTAGGTACTGCAGCTGCCCTTACAAAGTATGTACTGTTATATGGCAGTATGCACACAATCAGGACATACTGCTTTCTCATAACATTACACCTTGACCTTTGGCCCTCTTGTTTTTTTCTGTTACCTTGGAGATAAACAAACGCCACTTACCGAGATTGCCAGAGACAGAGATCAAGAGCTCTGCTGTTGTTACTTTGCAGTGCATGTAGTTACGCTTTAAAGTTGTAACTGCACAGATTGTAGATTTTAACTTGATGTTTGCTACAGTTAAATTACACCTGCAGGTCTCTGTTGTTGTTGTCTTTTGGTTTATCCTTTTGTTGTTTGTAACATAAATTATTATTTTGTTCGTTTAAACAATTAATATTCCTATTATTACTATTCAACTGGTCATCAGTTACTTGAATGTGCTGTCATCCATCAATGGTAGCTGTTAGTCAGCTGATGGACAGCTGTCAAAAGTTGCAATGAGCTGTCATCTGCAGCTCAGTCGATGTGACATAGCATCTGTGCAGAGGACTGTGGGTCAGAATAGCCAGAAAAGCATGCTGGCTTACATACAGCAAAACCCAACCAGATGTAGAACATCCTGGTATTTTTGGCATTCTGCATTTGACATACTTAATCTTTTTCTGGCATACTATATATTACGGTAGTGCTCATTCTCACCAGATCATGTGACTAATTTAAAATTTTTCAAATTAGGTATATGAAGTACCTTTACGCATTTGAGTGTGAGAAGAAGGGTCTGAGTTCTCCAGGTGAGCTGCAGGCCGCCATCGACAGTAATCGCAGAGAAGGCCGACGTCCCAGCTACACCAGCAGCTTGTACCGTTACTCTCCGTCACCGAGCTCCGCTCAACACGCGCTCCTATCTTCACCCACGATGCAAACCACCCCGACCAGACACAACAGCCTGAATGCATCCGCCAGCCCGAATCTAAAGAGAAGCGCAGGTATGACGCAGAGTGTAAGAAAACTGATATACATGATATTATATTTTGAAAATCTCTCCTGTCTCAAAGAAAACCTGGTGGTGTTTGGATCAATTTGACAAGAATGTTTTTAATTCAGCTTGGATTCCATATTGTTTTATACCAGTCCATTAGAGACTCCTACTTGATTTATGAAGTTACAATCTCTCTATGGAAATAAGTGATAATTTTGGATCACACTTCCGAGAGATCCAACCAGTGTCACCTGTGTGATGTTAGTCTGTTGGCATCTGGTCATAGTAACTGTGGTGAACCTGGGTGATTTAAGATACTTGTGACCTCTAGCTAGAACTGCCACCGTCTTATGTAAAAGGAAGTTGTAATTTCTTTGTGCTGATTTTCTGAATGAATAACACCTTCACTGTGATTTTTTTTTTCCCAATCAGATGAGATGTCAACCCCTGTGATGCCCAGCCGGCTGCCCATGGCTCTGGCTCTGGGGCAGCAGCAGCAACAACAGCTAGCACAAGCTGCCACGTTAGAGCATTTCAGAGAGAGACTAGAGCAAGGAGCTGGAATAGCTGGTGGAGCTGCAGCTGACGGTCCAGAGAAGAAAATGATGCGGATGGCGGAGGAGCAGCAGCGCCTCATGCAGCAGGCCCTCCAACAAAACCTCCTGGCCTTGGCGTCTCATTTTAACCCCATGAACCTCAAACTTAACAACGGACAGGGTGAGTTACCTTGAGTGTGATGATGCGGGCCCGATCAGATCATTACTTAACATGATTTAGGAAGGTCCATTAAGTGGAGTCCTTTTCTCCCACAGAGAGCAAACAGGATTTGTCTCTGAGTATCTCCACTAACGGAGCAGCCAGTATCAGCGTGTCTGTGGAGGTCAATGGCACTGTTTACTCAGGTAAGTGATTACATTTTAATGGAGTTTGGCCTTTCTGTGTTTTTTAAATTCCAAAAAAAAGAAGCAGCTAGGAAATCTATTTTTATGAAATGTTTAAGTTTATTAACCTTAGTTTTTAAGAAAGAGGAAAGAAAGCATTCCCTTATTAGTCCCTCGAGGGGAGATCATAGTATCATTTTTCATTTATCATCATATCATTTTATTTATATATGTATTTTCTATTATCTTTTGAGTCAGTTTAATTGTATGCTGTGAAAACGAAGCACATCCTTAGATGTGAGACTGAACTTTACAATACACTGCACTTTGTTTAATAAGTGAAACAAGAATGTCAGTATACTGGGTTATACTACTTACAAAAATAAGTCAGCCAGCAGACTGTACTTTAGTTTAGTATAAAGACTGTAAATAGGTCGTTGGTAATTAACATGTGACATCTTGTTTGGTGGCAGCACAGTGGTGCAGTGGGTAGCATTGTCATCTCACAGCAAGAGGGTTCCTGGTTCGAACCCAGGGTGTGAGTTTTGGAACCAGGGTTTCCTCCCACAGTCCAAAGACATGCAGGTTAATTGGTGACTCTAAATTGCCCGTAGGTGTGAATGTGAGGGTGAATGGTTGTCTGTCTCTATGTATCAGCCCTGTGATGGTCTGGCGAGCAGTCCAGGGTGTACGCTGCCTCTCGCCCAATGCCTATATAAAAATCCCCCCTATTTCCAGCACCCTCACCTGAACCACTCCCATCTCTGAAGCTGACCTTCATTTTGTTTTCAGCTACACTCCTGTGAAGTTTCACAACTGCATCTTTCATGTTTGTGACGCTATCGGATGACAAAGTCTGTCCACAGACAGACAGACAGACAGACAGACATATATACCTGGCAAAATACTCAGAACAGCTTCTGTTGTAGTTCCTGCTACTTTTGCTGTCACGAGGACTACATTTTGCCATGAGACACACACACACACACACGCGTACACACGAGGTGAAAATAATTTGACGGCTGATGAAAACAAATTGAAGTTTTATGGGGGTTATGTGCTGGACTATTTCATGGCTGGGAGCTGTGACTTCCTTTCACAATGTGTCATTTTTTGTCTTCGATTTTTGTACAGATCAGTCAGTGGGTTTCAGATGTGTTGTCAGGTAGATTTGTTACCACTGGTGGGAGCTAGACTCACTGTTTCCCTTGGTTTCTTGTCTGTATGCTAAGTTAAGCTAGCCTGCTTGCTCTAGCTTAATATGTATTGCACAGACATGAGAGTGGTATCAATGTTCTCATCGTAACAGCCAAGAAAGCAAATAAGTATCCCAAAATGTTTTTTGTGCTCTTTAAAACGTTTTTTCTGCTGCACTAAAGGTTTTCATTCAGTACTATATGACACTAAATTCTCCCTTAAACTTGACCTGGAAATGTGTCAGTTCTACAAATATGAGGTTAAACATACAGTTTGTGCTTTTTAATGTTCATTGGCTTTAACTTCTCTCTGTTCTCTATGTTTCAGGAATGCTGTTTGCCCAGAAGTCAGCTGCTCCTGCAGCGTCACAGGTCATAACTGCGGCAGGAACAAATGGTTTCAGTGCCCTGTCCTCTTCACACAGTCCCTCCTCTTCATCTTCCAACTCCTCAAAGGGACCAAATTAAGCCTCACTGGTCTTTAAATCTGTCCTCAGCTAAATGCATACTTCTCTCTAGTTGCAGCAGTTGACCATCTGTTTGTTCAGTCAGGCAGTGCAGTCTTTTGGGAAGGTCAGCCGTAACACATCGCCATAACAAATCTAGCATTGTTTTTCCATTATTTTGACAGCGTAACGTGTTTTAAATAAGTCTAACTGAGAGGACATTGATGTTAAACCTCAAAGGCTCAAACTGACCATAATATAGATTCAGATCACGGTTTACCTTTGTGCCTGTAAGAAGCTTTTTCTTTAAAAAAATGTAGTGGCATTCATGTCTAAAAGGCTTTACAAGGTTTGTTCTGAAGTGTCTTTATATCCTCTTTGGGTGTCAACTGCATTTATATCTAATTATCGAACAGTTGTGTAGCTGCCTTTTTCTATAGTAGAGCAGTGTGGTTGCCAAAGTGCAGCTAATGGAGACCAAAAAGCCTTAGCTCAGTGTCATAGCTGCTGTCTGTAACTGTTTTGCTGAAGCCATTTTGTACCCAAACATTTGGTTTAATCCGAGTGAAAGCTTCCTACTTTTAATAGCAGCTTTCAGGGATTATGTACAGTACATCATCTGTTTCCTAAATTTGTTGCAGGTTGGTTGAATTTTTTTATGTTTTGTATTGTGTTTCATTTTATTTTTTTATTTAATCATTTTGGCTCGGCCTTAAAATTACAGACATATATTATTTTCAGCTGTGAATCAAAGGCAATCACCTCAGTCGACTTCCAATGTTGGTAAGTTTCTCGGGAATTTCTTCTGGACTCAGGAATGTCCTCTGGACTCGTCGTTGTTATATCTCATAGTATGTTGCTGTGTTGTATTTGCATTATCGTAGAGAATGTATCGCCAATGACCTCAAGCTTTTGACAAGTGAACACTGAAACAGTGCTACCTCACTCTCTCTTCTGGAGAAATATGCAATACTTAATGCAGCATGTGTTGATTTAGCCATCTGCTGAAATAAACTGTAAGTGGACAATCAAGTAGACATATCAATCATGCAAGCAAGTGTCACTGTGAACTTCAAAAACCAAGGTTGGTGTTGAACTCTGTTTTGGTCTTTGATTAATGTATTTCTTGGACATGTGGCCATGAGGAATAAAACAATCTTGTGTGCTGTAAAAAGACCCTGTTTTTTTTTTTGTTTACAGAAAGTCAAACCCCTCAGTCATTTTCCCTTTATGAGGACAAGTCGAACGATTAAAAAAGTCGGCTGTTCTAATATTTCACATGGCATGCACATGATCATGCTCGTTTTAGTTTTTTAAAATTGTGTTATAGTCTCTTTATAGTTGTGTTTTAGCTCGAACAAACCTAATACATTTGTTATCTTGTGTGAATAATCTCAACACAAAGTCCATTTATTAGCTGTTTTTTTACCTTTCAGTTGCATCTCACAGTCTTCATCAGTGACTGAAATAAGTTGTCACACATTCTGATCGCCGTGTCAAGAATGAACTTCCGTGGTCAAATTTATTTAAGACTGTCCAAAACCTAGGTTACAAAGTGCTTCACAGTTACAAATGAAAATGACATTTTACTCCACCACATTTATTTGAGAGCTGTAGTTTCTTTACAAATTACTATTTTATAGATTAAACTAATTAGCTCCATCTGACAGCTGTAATATCAAAATGCTACTTATACATCAATGCATTATTAAAGGGACAGTTCAACAACATATTTTTCCTCATACCTGTAGTGCTAAAGAGATGTCTGCCTTCTCTCGAATGTAGTGGAACTAGATGGCACTCAGCTTGCGGTAATTACAACACAAAAAAATAAGTTTCAAAGACTCAACAGCAATGTCTCTTTCCAGAAATCATGACCTGGTTACTTAAGCTAATCCACAGACCTTGTTGTGAGCAGTTTCATGTAGGAACTATTTTTTTCTACCAAACTACACCAGCCAACCATATCACTGTGCAGAAGGAAGAGTGCATCTACTCATGGACGAGAGGCTGTACTTATGACAGCACAAGATGTGAACATTATTGGCGTCCTCTTCAGCTAACGTTAGCTAGTTCAGTGGTGCTAGGTGAGCTAGCTGTAGATGCACTCTTCTTTCTGTGCAGTGATACAGTTGGCGGGTGTAGTTCAGCAGAAGGAAAATAGTTCCTTCGTGAAACTGCTCACAACAAGTTCTGTGGATTATTTGGGGGGACTGTGTCATGATTTCTATTTCATGATTTCATGAAAGAGACATTGCTTTTGAGTTTTTGGCGCTTTGAGCACCTCAAGCTGAGTGCCATCTAGTTTCATTATATTGGAGAGAAGGCAGACATCCCTACAGCCGATATCGCCAACACTCTGCAACTCACACCAAAACAATCTAGATTGATAAAAAGCATCACAGGTTAGAGGAAAAATAACGTATTTTTAATTTTGTGGTGAACACTCCATTAATGATAATCCAATAATGTAAGGTATAGTAGTGTAACATTTAGGAGTATTTTTACTTTAGACATTTTAAGTACATTAAGCTAATATTAGCAATGCACTTTTTGGACATTTACAGGATTATTACTCATAACTGAGTATTTTATATCACAGTATTAAGTAAAGGATCCGAATACTTAATCCACCACTCAGAAGTACATCCCAAAAAGAAAAGAAAACATAGTGAGTGGCCAGATGGGGGTGGTATTACCTCCACTTTTAAATACACAACACAAGTTCAGGGGAATTATGCACCTATAAACATGCACATATATCAGTATTTCATGGATCATCTCTGACATCTCTGTTTTTAATATCTGTAACAAAGAAACTGAACTAGTTAACATTTAGAAGTTGATTTTTTTAAAACAATTCCTGTCCTGGATCTTAATTCAATTGAGCTTTGTTCCTAATTGCATTGGCGACGGACCAAACTTGTACTGGTAGTTTCACAATATGTTGCCCTGTTTCACGTCAGATTAGGTCTGAAAAGATGAGCACAGTGTGTATATAGGAGATGAAGAGCAGAGAGATTCTGCATTGAGAGTTAATTCCTGAACTCTGCAGCCAGCAGACCTATGACAGAGGTTATACTAATGGAGATAAGAGCTCATGGGTCAGTGAGGGCGGGGGATGGGTTGCAGGATTTACTGTTGGGATAGTTTATTCTATAGTGACACTGCTGGAATGGCATCTGGACCACTGTAGAAGAAAGATGCTACAGGCACAATTTAGAGGTATTATGAGATGATATCTCCGCCCACGGCCCCCGCCCACCAGGGGGGAATAACACCAGTCAAGTCACTCTGCAGATAAGTCCTGGGACAAAGACTGGAATATACTGTATGCAGCAAGTTAGGACAGCAGGGTGATTTTTCAACTTTGGACACGGAAAGGCACCTGCAGCTGCTAAAGAATCCTTGAAATCATGTAATGTGCAGGCCTTTTACAAATTTTGTTGCTCAAACCTGAAAAATGTTTTAACGGGATACAGATTTTTTTGTACCTTTGTGGCTGTAGCACTCCAAAACAATGGCTTTGACTGACTGAAGCAGAATCATGTGGGGAGACATCTCCATGACTGAAAGCCAGGATGTGTTTTCATGAGTCAAGCAAATGATCTTCTTCGCCGGGACCTCTGGGATTCTACATGTGGATGTTTTAAAATAGGCTCTGACAGACCTTCAGCACACTGTTGGCACCATGCCTTACCATGATGAGGAGTACCCAGGTCAGCCTCTGTGGCAGTCTGTGCTGCTCTTCTGCTGTAAGGGCATGATCGAGGGCATCATGGTCGTACTCTTCTTCTGGCTCCTGGTGCAAGTCCTTTTCACCAAACATCTAGAAGGTATGGTCTTAAAGGATGGGTTCAGGTTTTCAAGTCTTAAATAATACGTTTTCCAAAAAAAGCAATGCAAAAAGATCTAAAATTAGAAACGTTTACATCCATTGATGTATGTGAGGACATGGTAAAAAAATGTGGTGATGGAGGCATATGTTTTTCTTGAGAAGTCACTATGTTCGATAACAAATAACTTTATTTATCCCAAAGTAAATTGCTGTGCAGTGTTAGTAATACAGTTCGGAGGAGTGCAGATGCAAAGAGTGCAGTACACAAGGACTAAAATAACATGACAGAAAATGCAAATGTATGGCAAATATGAAATGAAATATATAGCAAATCTAAAATCGAAATAGTGCTAAGGTGCAAAATACAAAGACAAGCTAGCAGTAAGGCGCAAATCAGGCGCAATTAATAGTCAGCTACCTTGACAGGGTCCGTCTTGTAAATGAGATTTCTGACCTCAAAGGAACTTTCTGGTAAAATAGAAATAAAATTTAAAAAGTAAAAATATTATATACATTCAAGGAGTTATTTGTAGGATATATATATAATCAATGTACATATAGTCATGTGAATATTGTTTCAAGACAGACAGAAAAATGTGAACTACTCCTTTAACAATACTATAATATGAAACATGGGGTCTATGCTTTCAGGCAAATGGGGTTAAGTAATGCATGTTCTGTATTATGTAATTCAGGGGTTGCATGAGAATAAATTACAACATTTTCTAAACTGCTTCTAAACTGATTTTATTATTCTCTTTTTGTCTGCAGTTCACCTCCAAATTCTTCTTCTGGTTGGACTGACAGTCTTTTGTCTGTGCTTGGTCCTGGGATGTATTCTGTGCTTGAGGACAAGTCAGATATGTGCAGTGACAGACAAAGATCCTGTGACGTCAGCACCGGCTCCTGCTGAACCTGTGACCTTTACTCAGACTCCGCCTCCCTCAGCAGCGACGGCGGCGTCCAGGCAGCAGTACGAGGAGTTGGATGGAGACACAGTGGAGTATCCCTCCACTTTCACCAGCCCTACCCCTTCAGAGGGTGAATTCAGTACTCAGTCGTCCTCTAAACGAGCCAGAGCTGCCTCTGAACAGAAGGAGCAGCAGAAGTCTTATTTTTCCCTGCGCCGCCTCAGCACGCCACCACTAACATCACCCCTTTATAAACCCATAGATCCCAGTCCTGCTTCCCTGCCTACATTTCCCAAACTGGGACTGTTGTCCAAAACATGTAAGGCCCTGCACAGGCGCTGCATGCTGACTGGAGATAAAACATCTTATAATGAACACAGCAGGCTCACCAGCCCCAGTGCTGTCTCTCCTTCTATGCCTGAAGAACCAATCCCGCTGGCTCCACTGAGCTACGGCTCCAGTGCCAGCTGCCAACAGCCAGTATCACCAAAACCCTGCCTCCATTTCACTATGGCCTTCTCTCCAGAGCAGCAAACCCTGGCAATCACTATCCTCAGCCTCACTGGGACACCACACAGACTGGAGGACGTGTCTGTGCTGGGCAGCCTGCTGCCTCTGTACCCCTGTCCCGTACAGGCCTCTGCACAGAGCAGCCCTGAGACCCACAGCCTGGTGCTGCTTCTGAAGGTGAGCTCTGTGAAGGAGCTCCAAAAGTGTGTACTGAGAGTAGCCGTATACACACAGGAACCTCCCAGCATGAGAGACACCACACTGGGTGAACTGGAGGCTGAGTGTGGAGGAAGGGACTGGAGAGCAGAGCATCCATTTCACTTCACAAAAGAGCTCAACCCAAACAAGTGGAAGCTGAAAAAGGTAACTGTGTATTGAGTTATAATGTGTGAGCAGATGTTGGCTTTATTTTTAAGAGACAAAGAAGTATGGGCAGATTAACCCGTTAGGAGGCCCGGAGGCAAAAATCTGTTGCTGGGCCCCTTTTGAGCACTTTTACGACTTAAAGGAGCAGTGTGTAAGATTTAGGGGATTCAGTGGCATCTAGCAGCGAGGACTGCAGATTGCAACCAGCTGAAACTGTTAAAGTTAGAATTCTTTCAGTGTTCATTGTTCAGGAGGTTTTTTACCTGTAGTTGAATTATCCACAGAGGTCTCTTCTGCTCTAAAACAAAGGAACTCAGTGATTTAAACCAGTCAAAACACTGAATAGAGCAGTTTTATGTTAAAATAAATCAGTACTTTTTCCAATGCTCTTGTCATGGAGGAGCTGCTGACTACAGTGACTGTTGCCAAAATGCAAGTAGCCCTTTCTAGAGCCAGTGTTTGGTTTGTCTGTTCTGGGCTACTGTAGAAACATGGCGGTGCAACATGGCAAACTCCATGGACGAGGAGCTGCTCCCTATGTAGATATAAACAGCTCATTCTGAGGTGACAAAAACACAACGATTCTTATTTTCAGGTGATTAAACACTAAAGATTTCTGCAAATATGTCCCCCTAAATCCTACACGCTGGACCTTTAAGTTAAAGATTAAAGATCAATAATGAACATTCCAGCTCTCTTTATGATAACAAACAGTGAACCTGAGGGTGTGGGGGAAGATTGTGTTGCCCGGTTGATAATCTAGCCTTACATAGAGGATAAAATTATCTAATAAAACAAGTAAAAAGGAGATGAGATAAAAGTCTGCATTTTGTTATGTTTGATTTTTGTTTTGCTCTGTTGCACATGTGATCCCTGTGGTCAGTAACACATTATTTTTTCTGTCAGTGATTTGTGTACGTTTCATTTACTACTAAGCCTCATGCTGCATGTCCCGCTGATCAAAGTTTCCCTCTCTGCTCTCTGACCGCAGACTCTGATCCCACAGGATGCAGCGATGTGTAAGGGGCTTAGCTGTCCTCCACAGATCTTCATTTTGCTTCAGTATCAGCCTCTGGGCCATCGCATCAAAGCCACGGTCCTCAGAGCAGATAACCTAGACAGCCTTGTTCACACTTTTGCAGCAGCAGGTAAAAACCAGTGTTTAATGTCATGAATTTGCCAAAATGTGTATTTGATACAGAGATCCCCTAAGGACATCATGCATAGAGGTGTTATGTAAGCGTGCGTGGGCAGAACTAACTTTTGTCTTTCAGGGGCAGAGGTAAAATAATTCCCTATGTTTGCTTTTAATGTTTAGGGGATTAAATGATGTCTTACAGGACCTGAATGCAGCAGGAGATCATCCCTTTTTTTAATGACATTGTGGTTTAATCCTTTACTGTTCAAAATCCTCAGGAAAATGTTCCAATCTCCTCTGAATCTCTGATCTGACAGATCTAATCTTTGTTGGCATTAGCCTGTCAAGGCATTACTTTTATTGCAGACCAGCACATCCTGTGTAAAGAGCCATTAGATGTTATGATATCTGTTTCATGTACATGATGTCACATGAATTTGACTTGGATAATCTCTTTTGTTTTATATCAGATAGAACATGTATGCTCATGGAGCAGACATATCAGCATAACTATGGATAAAGACAGGGATAAATACTTACTTTATGCATCCGAGCTCCATGTTTTACTTGATCACATCGTATGCTGTATTTACAGGAGAAACAGTGACAGTGGAAAAAAAAGTCATTGGTTTCATTTTAGGGCCTGAGCACCGACCGCAGACAGTCACGAAGGCTGAAAACTGAAAGAATTACCATTATTTTTCTCTGAAAAGAATCACATTTTTGTGATTGCACACACATCAGAACTGGGGAAAATTTACATCTGATGTGGGTCTGGTCAACGGATGTCAAAATGGCTCTGTAGCACCCCCATTGAATTTCTACTAGGCAGCCCCTGAAGCTGGTTTCACCTGCATGTGTGAAACTTGGCAGGCACCTGTAACATCCCAAAACGTACAAAAAAGTCTCTTGGAGCCATACCCTAAACCCAACTGGAAGTCAGCCATTTTGAATTTTATGTGGATTTTTTTGTGCATTTTTTGGCCTTTTCCAGAGGTTGTACTTTAACAAAGCCCTTCAACAGATTTGATCCGATTGACTTCAAATTTTGTCTGTACCATCTAAAGACGTTTGACATCAAAAGCTGCTCAAAGCTTGACTTTTCGTCAAACTGCGTGACTGTGGCGGTGCGTCAAATTTTGGTGTTTTGCCACCAAAAAGGAAGTGGTTTGTAACTCCAGTATACATGGTCCAATCTTCCCCAAACTTTACATTTTATGAGGCTCCAAGCTCGAAGCCAACTACATGCACCGTAGGTGTCATGGTGATTGCGCCACCTACTGGCACCAGGAAGTAAGACTTGTCAGACAATTATCTTTTGATTCACCTGAAATTTGCATGGCGGGGTCCACAATTGATTCACAGCAACATAAGGTATAATTAGTTTGTTCTCCAGCGCCACATAGTGGCCACAGAAAGTTCTACAAAATGTGAGATAGGTCATTCCAACGCCCACACTCTATGATATACCATCTCATTCCTGCGTGCAGGGTCTGACTGTCACAGAAATGAACAGCAGCATCAGTTGGCATCCTACCAGGACCCCCGAGTTGCACAGAGATGCGAGGGCCCTTTCATCACTGCTTGCAGCTTAATTAATTTTTCTGAGTTTTTTTACGACTTAGTGGCATCTAGCAGTTAGGACTGCAACCAGCTGAAACTTCCTTCAGTGGTAATCATTCAGGAGGCTTTTACCAGGAGCCAGTTTATCCTCACAGGTCTCTTCCTCTTGAAAACAAAGGGCATCAGTGATTTAAACAGGTAAAAAAAACACTGAATTAAGCAGTTTCATGTTTATAAAGGGCCTGCTAAATGCAGTGGCTCATGCCAAAACAAGAATGGCCCTGTCTAGAGCCAGTGTTTGGTTTGTCCATTCTGGGCTATTGTATAAGCATGGCGGTGTAGCTAGGCAAACTCCATGGACGAAGATCCGCTCCCTTTGTAGATTTAAATGGCTCATTCTAAGGTCACAAAAACACAATAATTCTTATTGTCAGGTGATAATGTACTAAAGAAAACAAACTTATTATATTATGCTCCATTTCTGCCAACATATCCCCATAAAGCCTACACACTGGACCTATAAGTTTAGGTTTAAAGATCTAGAATGAACATTTAAGGTCTCTTTGTGATAACACACAGTTTTCTCAAGTGGCTTTCTGTCATACTGTATAACATGCATGTGCCTGTGTACAGAACACCAGGTGGTGATCAATCTGCATCATGAAGGAGTCGTGATCTGCAGCAAAGAAACTGAAGGAGGATCCTGTACTGTGTGGAACACTTCTTTCCTGTTTGACCTGCCTCCAGGAGACATCAGTCAGCTGCCCCTCATGCTTGAGTTCATAATCATGCAGGTAAGGATTGCTCTGTGGGCTCACAGTCCCTGAATAAAATGCATGTCTACAAATAACTGCATATATCTGTAATGTAACTCTGAATTCCTCACTCTTGCTCCTGTGTGACAAACTCAGGTCCTTTCAGAGGGCAAAGTCCTTGGTCGAGTCCTGATCGGAGCAGAGGCTGCAGACGCAGGACGTGCTCACTGGAGGGACATGTGCAGCCTGCAGGTGGAGCAGGCACGCTGGCACACTGTGCAACCAGAGCCTCTATAGATCTCTGACACAGGTGTCCTGTTTGTAATGTCCTGAGGCACTGTATGAACTCCATGTGCACCTAAAATAAGCTATTACAGGTCACCTTTGCCATGAAATGCATACAGCTAATGTTTCACTTAAATGATGTGTTTACTGACAGTTCTAACGGGCAGATATATGGGCACTGCACTCAACAATAAAATCTCTACAATGGCCTTATTTCAGTGTATCAACCTGTGAATTCTCCCATAGGTAGGTACAGTAAGTGCACACAGTGACCTTTGGAACAGCACAATGTAAGTTCAGTTTGCAGGCTTATACAGACTGTTTGTGACACATTACCTAGAACAGACTTTCTATATGGATCTTGAACAATTTGTCTCTTATAATCGTTCTCTTCTAGTAAACAAAGGAAAACATGAAGGTAAATGAACTGATCTTAATTGAAAAATAATGAAGCATTATTCCAGTATTTAGTCCTTGTAACTAAAATACACGTTGTCATTCATTTGAACATGTAATACACACAAATGTACCTAATCTTCCCTCATGTTCATTTTATAATTTTACTGTTCTTTAAAGATAAAAATGTTGGCTGTGGGATTTTCTGAATGTTTAAATGATGTGAAGAATTATATCATGTCATATAAATAAAACACACTTTTGCCTGAGGTAGCTTGGTGAATTTTTATTAACACTATTGTTTGGAGCATTCACCTCAGCATAGTGATACTCAGGTTACAGGACATGGGCAAAATCTGGACTGGGATAGGGTGCTGTTTGGCCCACCAACCATTTTGTAATCCATAATAAAAATAAGTTGATTCACACTGGAGATTTCTTTTTGTACCTCGAATGTAAATAAGGTGCCAGAGTGCACAAAAAAAGCATAAAAAAAGAGCGTGTTTGTCAAAAATAAAAGTGCTAAGGACGATCCCCTGGCCTTCCTGAAAGAGATCGGGGCTGAGCCATGAATATTCCCAAATTCCACTTACATCTGACCTGTGTGGGGCTGCCGTGGCTAGATTTGCCTCCTGGCAAAGATAGGTGAGGACAGCAAAGGTCGAAAGGTTATAAACAGGCAATTAATATTAATGTTGTTTCATTAACTGGCCCCTAGCCTCCTGTCATTTTGCAAAAGTGGCCCCGAGGCAAAGCAAGGTGAGTATAACTGCCTTAGCAGAATCTGTCTTTAAATTGTTGAAGTAAATTAGTCCTTAAATTTCATTTGAGTAACAAACATACAGTTTAAGTTATAAGGCATAAATACGGCAGGTGCAGCACCCTGTATCAACTGAATGAGTCTTAATAGAACACCTCATTTGTCCTCTCCTTCCTCTTCATCTTCATCAGGGCTACAGATATCTACAAGCTCAGCCATGAATATTCCGTCAGGACAGAGCAAAGGTGGCGTCTTCTGCGGCAGGTCAGTCTCATCTGAACTGTGAGGAGACTTGTCCTGGGTCGGCTGTTTGGGCCTTAGTGTTGCTAAATCAGGAGAAATAACACAAAAGATTAATATTCCAAAATGTCAAATCGATTTTGTATTTGTACACATGCAGAGGACAGAGGTGGATGAAAGAAGAGAATTTAATTAAGACCAGGGACTTATCAACCAATACTGATCAGAAAAGTAGCTTGTTATTTTATGAAACAATTTGCTCCATATTATTTAGTATAGTTTAGTATTGTATATAGTATTTGTGGATATGTCCCTGTTTGAGATAAAGGCATGAATCGTGTGATTTTGCCAAAGGCTCCAAAACTACAAACAGCACAGATCACAGCACACGTCTAGATTATGACACTAATTCATGCACAACTTCACCTGGCAGCAGATTCTCATTTTTTGCCCTCAGATTGTAGATTTCTGCGTTCATAGCTGACATCTGGCAGAGGAGAGAACGATTTCAAATCTCTCATTTCATCTTTATATTGAGAGCTAAGACCTTTTTTGCAGATGTGTTCTGTGTTTTTTTGAATAAATGCTTTTAAAAAGTTGTTTTTAAATTATTAGTTTCACATAATTCTTTTCAAAAAGAAGCTAGAGGGCAAAATATTTTTATTGTAAAGTGCAACTTGCTGTTTAACATTTAGGACCTTGATTTTTAGTTGCATGCAAACAAAGAGAAAGTGTCAGCAGTCACCTCCAGTCTCTCTCTCTAAAACCTACCAATCAGGTTAGAAATCTCGGGGTAATAATGGACTCAGACTTGAACTTTAACAGCCACATCAAATCAATAACATCAGCAGCTTTTTACCATCTAAAAAACATTGCCAAAATCAAAGGTATAGTGTCTAAACCTGACTTGGAGAGACTTATCCATGCATTTGTCTCTAGTAGGTTAGACTACTGTAACGGCCTGCTCACTGGCCTCTTCAAACGGGCCGTAAGACAGCTGCAGTACATCCAGAATGCTGCTGCTCGGGTCCTGACCAGAACCAGGAAGTACGAGCACATTAGTCCTGTGCTCAGGTCTCTACACTGGCTTCCTGTGGCTCAGAGAATAGACTTTAAAGCAGCTCTGCTTGTGTACAAGTCTCTCCACGGCCTAGCACCAAAGTACATCTCTGACATGTTAGTGCCATATGAACCATCTCGGACTCTGAGGACCTCAGGGACCGGCCTCCTGCTGTTGTCCAGAGTCAGGACTAAATATGGGGAATCAGGATTCCAGTTTTATGCAGCTAAAATCTAGAACAGTCTTTCTGAAGATGTGAGACAGGCCTCTACTCTGACAATGTTCAGATCTAGGCTCAAAACAGCTCTATTTCACTGTGCATATGACTGAAAGGTTCTTATCTGCACTCTTCTCTTTTAAAGTTCATTTTATGATGATTATTTATGTTTTTATTTTGTATTGTGATTTTAATGCATTTTCTTGTTCTGTAAAGCACTTTGAATTACTTTGTGTACGAATTGTGCTCTACAAATAAACTTGCCTTGCCTTGCCTTGCCATGTCTATAGTTTTTGGATGATGGAATTTACAATTTCTTATGTATAAGCACTCGTAACTTTCTTTGTCTTTGATACAGACATGATCATACTATCTGTGGATGTTACTGAGTGGTCCTCTTGTCACTGGCCTTCTGTATACGACAGTGACATACAGTAACTCTTTCCTATCCTCTTATGGTGCCGTCAGATGTGCTCCAGCTGACCAGTTCACTCCTCAGCTTCAAATCCGATTATTTGCAGAGTAGAAAGAGTCATATGTGAGATTATAGCTAAACTACGTCTCACAGAGTTTGAGTGGTTGTGCAGCCAGGCTGACACCCCTCGCTGTGTGCCGCTGTATGCTCTTTGATTAAAGCAGAAGCTGGGATTAGTGCACGTGTGTGTGTGTGTGTGTGTGTGTGTGTGATGAATGAATGTGCGGGTAGTTAATTTTATGATATAATCTGTGTGGTGAGCTTATGCCATCAATGATATTAATTTGTATCAGCTGCAGATGCTGATATTATTTATGAACCAGCGCACAGACAGGCAGATACAGATGGTCTTTTGATTGCTGTGGTGTCTGGAGGTTTAATGTTGATGTTTTAGTCATTTAGCTGTTGCATATACTGCTCAGACTGTTTGTTTATGAGGTTTTGACATGGTAACCCTTCCATTCAGTGTAATTTAAGCCTTTAAAACCTGTTGGCTTTGCTTGTGGAAGTTTTCCTCAGATTGAGCCTCCTCTGCTGGCGGCTTTCCCTCCTCCCCTGCTGGCCAGTCACTGCCCTCCTCGTCCTCCTCGAACACTGGCATCAGACCAGAGCCCTGCTGATGCCAGCTCCTCCTGTCCGCTGCATTCTGAATGGAAACAAAAAAAAGTTCTTTCTGCACTTTTTCACATTGGTGTAATCCATTTAATCTCTATCAGTGTATGTCAGAGGCTCCTTACCCTGGCAGCTCTGGATGTGTGGGACCAGTCTTTTAGTGAGGAGGCTCCAGTCTGACCTGCTGCTGGTCTGTTGTCGATCTTTCCCACCTCCTTTCCTTCTCGCTCCTTAAACAGACTCTTTAACTATAAATATAATGAGATACAGAATATTCCTCTGATGAGGCTTGTTGTCATTTACAATAAGTATAAAACAAGATACACTACCATCCCTCTCCCCAGCAACACTTTCCAGCTCCTCCTGAGGGACCCCGAGGCGTTCCCAGGCCAGATAAGATATGGAATCCCTCCAGCCTGTTCTGGGTCTGCCCCGGGGCCTCCTACCAGTTAAGATGTGCCCAAAACACTTCCAACAGGAGGCACCCAGGAGGCATCCTGATCAGATGCCTGAACTGCCTCAAATGACCCCTTTCGAAAACAAAGGAGCAGCGGCTCTACTCCGAGCTCCCTCCACATGTCCAAGCTCCTCACCCTATCTCTAAGGCTGAGCTCCGCCACCCCACGGAGGAAACTCATTTTGGCCGCTTGTATCTGCGAACTCATTCAATGTGTACGTCACAGTGTTGCAGAATTTAAGCAAAGTCGTTAAGATTCATCCTCTGTGGACACTGATGTCGGTATTAAATATCATGACCAATCCATCCAATAGTTAATGAGATTTTTTTTAGTCTGAAAGTAGTAGATTTTTCGTAGAGCCACATTGCTAGATAAAAAACAAACAGAAATCATGCTGGCATCATGCAGCACATACCTGCTCAGTGATCATCCTCCTCTGCTGGTCCGTCTCTACACTCACTGGACAGACAGCTGGCTTCTCATCTTTAACCTGCAGATGAGGAGTCTGTCATTTAATATGTTCATCACTATAGGAGGCCATCTTTAGAGGTGTTTCTGTTATGTTACTTTACCGGGTAGCACTGCCTCAGTGTTTGAAGCTTCTGCACTGTCGGAGTTTCCTCCTGCTGCTGCTTCACCCTCCTCCTGCTCTCTGAAAACATGGAGGAAGAAGTTTCAGAGCTGAGCCAGTGAGGAAAGTCAGCATGCTATTCTCTGTAGCTTTTTTCAGACACAGGCTCATACCTTCCAGTGGGGCCCTCAGTGAGTCAGTGGTTGAGACATTTGCGAGGCCTCCTTTATCTTGGTCATCTTCAGAGGCCTTTTGCATGAGCGTTCATGAGAAACAGATGATAAAGGACAAAAAGATGTGCTGGTTAATTCCCTATTCAACAGTTCTGTGAAACACAGATCAATGAAATATTTAATTCAAGGCATAATGAGGTTGCGTGTTTAGGGTGTAGTGACTGCACCTTGAGTTTCAGAGCAGAAATCTTGAGTTGGGCCTCGTGTTTTTCTGTCTCTCTCAACCTCTCTAGACTCTTCAAAGCTTTGTCCCTGTCACAGTGAGGATGAAAACCTGTTACACACTCACTTCCCAGTCTTTAAACTCACTTGTCAATTATTCAAAGAAGGCTTACTTTTCCCTCAGTTCCTTCTCTCTGTCTGACAGTTTTTGCTTCAGCCTTTGAACCTCACTGCTTTGTAAACACACCTATTAATAATGAAAGTTAACAGTCTGGTAAAGCCCCTTATTATGAGGGTCAAATTCAGTTCAGCAAGGGAGGAACATCTCGTTACCTGTGGGGTTTTGTTTTGGCTGCTGTGGGAATCTGATGGTGGCTTCCATAACAAAGAGGATTCTGATAAGCTGATAAACAGATAGAGTGCATGTTAAAGACACAGATCACAGAATTTCATTTTCAGCGTTTGCTGACGGCGCGTTTCAAAAGTGAAAATCTCATCAAAATCCACTCACTCTGTTTGTGTCCCTGTGTCCTCAGTGTGCACAGAGGCCTCACCGCCTGGGAATACAAGGTCAGAGGACTTTGACGCCCCCTCTTGTTTAGAGAATAAAACAACACTTGCTGCACTTTCAGAGTAATCCTAAAGTACAGTTGTCTTTGTGACAATGTTATGCAAACTAAACATTTCATGGATGTCAACAAAAACAGACCTTATAAACAAAATTATTTTATCAATTATAACACCACTTTTGTTATTTGCTGTCTGACTTGTCCATGTGTGGAAGGCTTTTTCCACATAGGCTGTAATATAAGATGCCTAAGGGATGTTTTTTCTGGGTATCGTGTCTTATGTCACTCTGTGTTTTTTTATTAACTTGTTATTTTTTCATTACTGTCTATTTGTTTCACCTGCCATGCCATTATATGGGTCCTCTGATTGGTTCCTGCCACTGTATAGGTGAGGCCATACCTATGTTGTATGTTTTGAAAGCTCTGAGGAAGACCTGCAGCGGTTGAAATACGTTGGCTCTTTAATGATTTAGCCACTACTACAAAGGCTTTTTAATATTTCCTTTCTTGTTTTTCTATATTTTTCGGAGTACCTGGATTTCCTTCCTGTCGATCCCAAAGAGTAATGTTGTTGAGAATATTTGTAGGTACCACAGACGACTGAAAAAGAAGTGCATTCACCTTTATCTTTGTGTCTGTGAAGCAGAGCCCGACTCCTGCTCCTCTCCAGCTCCAGCTCTTGTTTGCATGCATCAAGCTCAACCCTCAGCAGTGAGTCTGATTCAGTCTATTAAAAAGCACATATTTAATAAATAACCAGTACAGTATATATTACATTTAAAGGTCCAGTGTGTAGGATTTAGGGGCATCAACTATGTTTTCATTAGTTGGTAATCACATGAAAATAAGTTTTTGTTTTGTTTTCATTACCTTAAAATGAGTGTTTATATCTACATATGGAGCGGGTCCTCTTCTGAGGAGTCCGCCATGTTGTTCTACAGTAGCCCAGAATGGGCAAACCAAACACCGGCTCCAGATAGGTCTATTCGTGTTTTTGCCACCGTAGATCTCCTACATGCTTAGCACATGAGAGAAGTTTCAGTTCTGGCAAAGTAAAAGACATATAAGTCGGCACATAAAGTAGCTCCCTTTTAGAAGGATTTTAATGCAGAGTGACGTTTCAAGCCACAGACTTCCTGAAGTTTACTTTGCCAGACATTTCTTTGCTCCAGCACCACTCCATTTGACATTGGGATGTGTGTGTCTTTTGTACTGTACACACAGATCTGTGTGCTAGGTATCCCAACAGAAGGGGATGGTACAGAACGGTTCTATTGGTACCATCCACAACTTTTCACGCTGGAAACGAAAAAAAAAAAAAAGTACAGAACTGAACTGAACTGTACCATACTGCTTGGTGGTTACATGGCTTTAGAAGTTTCAGTTCTGCAGCCTCACTGCTAGATGCCACTAAATCCTACACACTGGACCTTTAACAATAAGATCATCTCAGTGCGCTAACACTGAGGGGTACTCTACCTTGGCTCTGGTCAGCACTGTCTCCATGTTAGCTTTGTGTTGCCGCAGTTTCTCAATTTCCTCTCTAAACAGGAAAATATGCAAACCAAAACAAGATGTGTGAGATTTAGACAGCAATTGATCAGTGGAATTTGTGATTTATAATACTGACTCACTTGTCTTTCTGGCCGTCTTTGTGGAGTTTGTCAATCTCAGTTGCCAGGCGCACAGCTTCTGCTTGCAGCTGAAATTAAATTGATTTTTAAAGTTAGATGCATCCAAATGTGCTGATGTGGTATAAAGTTTATTTTGAATGGATGGTCTTACTTTATCTTTGGAGTTGTTCTTTTTGAGTTCGTCTAACTCTTTCTGCGTGGACTGCAGGGTCAGAGCCACCTTTTGCCATTTCTCTGCCCAGTGTGAGGCCACAGCTTTTAGCTCCTCGATTCTCTTCAATTTCGCTGCATCTTGTTTCTGATGCTCTTCCTCTCGCAGGTGTTGCTTGTCTTCCGTCTCAAGAACCTCAGACTCCAGACACAGACACTGATCCTGCAGATTCTGCTTCTCTAATTCCAAAACTTCAACAGATTCCCTGGATAAATTGTTGAAGGGTTTCAGTGAAGAAATGGTAATTGTACTACATTGCATGACTTCAAATGTAAAATGGCACTTCATTAACATCTCACCTGAGCTGGCAGCACTTTTCTTTCATCTTTGTTAACTCCTCATGGCCACCTTCATTAAGTTTACTCAACAGTTGGTCTTTGTCTCTGATCAGCTGAGATCGTTCAGCCTCCAGATCTGTGATCTGTTTGGAGTTGGTGGCCCTCTCTGCTGTTGCCTCCTGTAGCTGAGACTGTGAAGTTCTCAGCTTCTCCTTCATGGTTTCAAACTCATGTGTCAGCTTTTCATTTACCTGGTGTAAAGACACAACAGGGATCATTTCATAAAGGATTCAGTACAAGCAAAATTGAACAAAAATATGTCCACTTGAAGATTTTAACCTCTCTGAGAGCTTTAACTTCTCCCTTAATTAGAACTGCTTCCTGATCTTGTTTGTTGTTGTGTGATTTAGCTTCAGTTTGAATGACAAGATCTGCTTATAAACAATCTGGAGATTAAATACGATACCTTAATCAGTTGATCTTTGTCAGACAGAGCCCCTGTCAGTTTGGCCTTCAGTTCTCTTACATTATCCTCCAGCTTTAGCACTTGAGTCGACAAGATGGCTTTTTCCTGAGGAGAAGAAATGCCAATTTTCATGGTGTGACTTCAGTTATGAAATGGCATAATGTGCCGGAAGAATAAGGTAACATCAAATCAGAGTCAGCTGACCAGGCATGCTTGGCTGATCCTGTTGTTAGCGTCACTCAGCTGTTCTTGCATTTCAGAGTGATTCTCTTTTGTCTGGCTCAGCTTCTGGTTCATTTCCTCGATTTGATTCAACAGCGTCTTCTGTGTCTGTAGACACAAAATACATGCAGCCTAACGGTGTAAATATGGACAACTTTGTGATTCCATACAAACGAAGCAACAGTAAATTTTGAGAATTCTCTTAGACCTCTGTAGACGCCTGGAGTTTCTGAAGCGCCTGGTTTCGTTCTTCCTCTTGTGCCTTTGCTCTCGTCTCAGCATCTCTCAGAGCCTCTCTCAGCCTGCACAGCTCTGTGTCACCTTTCTGCCTCTCCTGAATCAAAGTGTGTTTGGCAATCAAAATGAAGAATAATACATCGTTCAGAACACAAATCTATTTCCAGAATACATGAATACACACGTGTTTGTTTAAGTCTTCTTGACTCAGTGGTAATGTTCTGCTGAGAGAGCCAGGAGTTCTTTCAGCTGGTTGATCATTGCTTCCTCTGCCCAAACTGGACCTCATCTGCTGCACGTCCTTCTCCAGCTGTAGGACCCTTGTGATTGAATTTCACATGAGGATGTGTTGGTGAAGATTCTCACTCATCCAGGTCAAGGTAATCTTAAGTGCTGTGTTGTAGGCAACTGGACTTGGAGCTTCTTGAAGACGTTTCACCTCTCATCCAAGAGGCTTCTTCAGTTCACTGAGAACTGATGAGAGGTGAAACTTAAGCAAGTCTAGTTGCCTACGATATAGCACTTAAGATTCACATGAGGGCTTTCAATCTTTTCCTTTCCATGTCTTTTGCTGCACTTACTTTTCACGAAGCTCTGCACGTTGCCGGCTCTTTTCAAATTGGGACAATTCAGCTGCCTCCTTCTCCTGCTCAAGAGCACCCATCTCTTCTGACAGCTGCTGTGAAACACATCAGCGCAAAATAACCCACCAAAACAAGCAGTGACAAGGCAAGGAAAAATAACGGTAGGTCATAGAATTTGTTACACTGACATCTAAATTTAATATTTTTTTATTTTTACTTACCTTATGTTTCATGTCAAGCAGCTGTGCAGTATTTATGTTGTAGCTCAGCTCTGCATTTCTGTTCCTCAGCCGGTCCAGATGAGTGTCTAAACGCTCGTGAGCATCCTGCAGCCATTGCACCCCTTCTGCTTGCCTGAAGCTACTTTCAGTTCGAGCGGCCCTTAATTCAGCCCCTGGAGATGGAGGGAATGGTCGTGTAGAACCCTCGAGCGCCAGATGAGACAATGACTGCCATTTCTTAAGACCTGGGTCATCCTGTCTGAAGCCGCCAGTGCTCCCAGATGTGCTGGAATACATACAGTATATCAGCCAGAAGTTATTACACCACCCTGACTTGAAATGTGTCCCCGTCACTTAAAAATGGTATACGTTTTCCTCTCACCTTGTGCTGACTTTGGACAGAAACCCTGTCCCAGAGACAGTTGCCATGCTACACCATGCTGAGGTCTAAGAAAGACAAACACATTTTTAAAACAGCTACACATTTAAAACAGAAAAAAAGACTTTATCTGGATTTTACCTGAGCTGAAAAGCAAGATTTGGTGTCCCACATGTCGAGGTCCGTGAGAGAAAATGGACTTGAACTCCTGTACGGTGGTGTAAACATTTTGGAGTGTCTTCCTAGATCCAAGTTATCTCTTCCCTTTGTGTGGGTGAGGCTACAGTCCTCATCTCCCTACGTGTCTCCCTGCCCAAGCGCCAGGGATAGATTTTCACACAAGGGTGGCAACTCGAGGTGAGTGGCTATTCTTGTATCATGTGTCTTGATTTTTCCACTGCTCGCTTGATGGTCAACAACTAGTTTTAACACTGCATGATCATTACAATGTGCTTGTGATCTACAGAATTATCCCCTCTTGATATGAATGTATTTAACACACATCTTTCCCTAAAAACAGGTGTATCTGTATAAAAGAAAAGAAAAGAAACACCACATAGGCTACTGTATGTTTTGATTTAATAGTTGGAGTCTCCACAATACTTTCTCTTACAGTACCTTGCTGCAGAAACCCTCTCCTGTCCACTGACAATGCTCACTCGCTCTGCCTGTGAACCTCACATGGCTTTGATTGCAAGCTTTTCAGTGTCAAGCCCTTGAACTGAGTATCCATAGTAACCTCTGTACACAGTATGCAGTAGGGTGGGTGTGTCATGTGCTAACACTTCTGGGATAGTCTCCACATGATCTCACTCAGTCCTCTGACTGGTTGTTTGTTGACATGAGTTGTTAAGGACATTTCACAAACATATTACATACCCAGCTTACCTCTGATTTATAATGTATGACAGATGCCTTTATGCACATGTAAAGAAAAAAAGCTTCATAATTATGTTCTTAGAGAGATTTAAATGATTTTATTTTAGCTCCAAGAATAAGCAAGCACGTGATGAATTGTCAGAAAGTGCCATGACTGTATAAGCATGCTAATACCCCACAGCTCAATGTGAAATATTACATGCAACTGATTAAATCCAAAGTTGTGTCTTTGCACAGACCAGTCAGACCATTATTCAGCTCTATCCTTCAAAAGTATTGCACATTCCAATTAAAGTGTAACAGTGCCCCAGTTAAGAGTACCAACATGTTATTTCCATGGCCTATGAAGTTGAATCACTTGTGGCCAGTGGGCCAAACTTGGCCCAAAACAGGGTACCAGGTGGCCCCCAAACCATTTCTAATTAAAACTAAACTAAATAAGTTGATTCACAATGGATTTTTTTCCACTTTTAATGTTAATAAGGTACCAAAGTGCATAAAAAGCATCAAAATAGAGCCTGCTGATCAAAAAGGTGCCCGGGGAGACCTGACAGAGGTCCAGGCTAAGCCCTGAATGTCCTTAAATCCAAGGAATGTACTCCTTTGTGCACCTGACCCATGCAGGGCTGCTGCAACTGGCCCCTGACCTGACCACCTGTCATTTTGCAAAAATGAGTATCCCTGATATAAGCCTGGAGCTGCTCCAAAGACAATGAATGGAAAACTGATTTGAAAAATATTTGTTTCTTTTCTTTATATACCCAAATGAGCATTCTTTTATTGTAGTGTTCTCATTGTGAAACATCTGTCCAGATTAACTGTCTGTGGAGCAGCTCCAGACTGTATACCCCATGACATCACAAATTTAAGTTTTAGCACTCTAGCTTTTGGAGTTGGAACAAAGTTGTTCATTTTTACTAATATTTTTGGACTGTCTTGGACCATAGGAATAACATGTAGGAATTTTGAAAGTGGGTGGAATTCCCCTTTAATGCTCAAACAGGCATAAGCGTATGCGTGACACAGTATTTAAAATTTAACAAAAGAGATAATAAGCTTTTGAAATCAAAATCCATCTGGATGAAAGAAATCGCCGTACGTTAGATTTAACGAATTTACTTGTAGGTCAGAAGTTTTACGGTTGAGCTCTTATTTTGAAAACACTTCCTATCGGAAGCCGGAAGTCGTCATCCAGAAGCTAGCAGCGCAGCATCTCTTCACCATTCAAGAAGCTAAAAGCTAACGTTAGCAGTTTAAAAGCGCTACTGTTTTTCATTCAGCACTTCATTCATTTGTGTTTTTGAGGAGAGTGTGCTTCGCATTAATTCCGAACAGGTACAACATTTTAACCTCACGTTATCAATGAAATGCAGCGTTTGAGTCTTGGAATTACCGCTAACGTTTGATAGTAACTTAGCTAGCGTTAACGTTAGATAACAGGCCGAGGCTAAAGCTAGTCAGTTAGAACAACTATTTGATAACATAAAGTTGTCTGTATCTCTGTTTAAAAGTTAGCTTATTAATTTTACAAAACGTCTGTGATTATTCCAAAGCTTCTAAAGTAACGTGAAATTAAAACTTTGTCTTATTCGTTTTTTAACACTGTGCAGTCATGGCAGCGGATTGGTTGGGCAGTTTGGTGTCAATTAACTGTGGGCCAACACTGGGAGTCTATCAAGGAGAGGTGGTGTCTGTAGACCAGTCCAGCCAAACAATCTCCTTAAGGCAACCTTTCCATAATGGAGTCAAGTGCCCTGTTCCCGAGGTCACATTCAGGTAAGGCTCAGCCATGACTTACTTGCGCCCTGTTTATTTACAGATTTGGTTGATTGATAGTCACAGTTTCTTCCTGTTACTAAATATAGCATTCTGACTTTTTTCCTCTGCAGTGCCATTGACATAAAGGAACTAAAGATTTTAGATATCAGGAATGGCAATACTAGGAACAGCTCCTCCACATCTACAAAGATAAGCAGTGCTCCAGTTGCAGTCCCAAAAGGTGACCCCAGGTCTGTGGAGAAACTCAACTCTCCTCAGCACTGCTCCAAAAGCTACGGAGAACGTCACCTGGACATACCCGGTCAGCCAAAAGCATTTCGACGAAGACACAACTCCTGTAAGTGCGATGACGTACAGCTCGTTAGATAATAATAATGGTGATTGTTGCTGTGTTGAGACTCACTGTGTATGTGTCCCACAAGGGTCATCCAGTAGTCGAGGGCCAAACCAAGCAACACCGAAAAAGAATGGTTTGAAGAATGGTCAGATGAAGCACAGAGACGACGAGTGTTTTGGGGATGGCATGGACGACGGGCTGGATACAGACTTTGACTTTGAAGGAAACTTGGCTCTTTTTGACAAAGCAGCAGTTTTCTCAGAAATTGACATATCAGAGCGCCGGAATGGTGCACGGTCACGTGGGACACCTCAAGAGCAGACACCCACACGGTATCGTCATGATGAAAACATCCTGGAGGCCAAACCTATTGTGTACAGACAGATTACTGTACCGCAGCCTGGGGCCAAAGAGTACTGCACTGGTATGTTGTTTTGCATTGTAATGATTAAATTGGCAGTGAGGGCAGGTGGTTGGTAGTAGGCTGTTGTTTACACATATGCCCTTTTTCTCCTACAGACTCAGGGCTTGTTGTACCCAGTATATCCTATGAATTACACCAGCGTCTGTTGTCAGTCGCTGAGCGTCATGGTCTCTCACTGGAGCGAAGACTTGAGATGACTGGAGTGTGTGCAAGTCAGATGGCACTTACGTTGCTGGGTGGGCCCAACAGGTAAGCATGTACTAACGGTTTGTAAGCACAGACGACAGTAGACATTTAAACCCTACTTGTATTTTATCGCCCGCTGAGCTAGTACTCTACAAAAAAAGAGAACTGGCCAGTATGGTGTTCATTGGTCATAGAAATTAGTTACTTGACTGTTTTACAGTGGTTTAGCCTTGTCGGCAAGGTACATAATCAGCTGTAACAAAGTCCGAGCTTGTGTTTTGATGTAAGATGCCAAATGTTAAATATTGAACAAATAAGCCTTTTATTAAATAATCAGAAAAGAAGCTGGATGAAATATCATGTCACAATATTTAGCAAAGTTTTATAAATGAACTGGATTTTTTTTTCACAGTGACATAGTTATATTACGTATTTTGTCTCTATTTATCCACATGTTCATGCATTAATGTTAATTAATGTTAATTATTAATGTCTTTGATATTTTTTGCAAATATGAAACACTTTAGACCTCCATACTAGTGAATTTTATTGTTTTATTCCCCAGTTTTGAATTTACTGGCATTCACTGCATTGAGAGTGCAAAATTCAGGATAGCAACTGAGTTTATTTTTTCGTATTATTTTCAGATTTACTCCGAAAAATTTACACCAGCGTCCCACAGTGGCTCTGCTGTGTGGCCCTCATGTTCAGGGAGCTCAGGGCATCAGCTGTGGTCGTCACCTGGCCAACCATGAAGTGGAGGTCATCCTGTTTCTGCCCAATTTTGTCAAGATGCTGGACTCAGTCACAAACGAGCTCACACTCTTCAACAAGACTGGTGGCAAACAAGTGTCAAATATCAAAGGTGGGCATATTTTTCAACTTTAGTTTTCTTTTACTATATTGTTGTTGTTTTTACATTTTGAATTCTATGTGGTCAATTTAAAAAAAAAAAAATCCTCTCTGTCTCCACAGACCTTCCAGACACCCCGGTGGATTTAATCATAAACTGCCTGGACTGCCATGAGAACACATTCCTGATGGATCAGCCTTGGTACCGAGCAGCTGCTGACTGGGCTAACCAGAACCGAGCGCCAGTGCTCAGCTTAGACCCTCCTGCTAGTGGACAGGGGCAGGCGGTTGAGGCCAAGTGGTCCCTCTCTCTTTGTCTCCCCCTTGCCTTGGCTGAGGGGGCTGGCAGCGTTTACCTGTGTGACATAGGTATTCCTCGCCAGGTGTTCCAGGAAGTGGGAATCAAGTACCTGTCCCCTTTTGGCTGCAAATTTGTCATCCCCTTGCACTCTGCATAATGGGACTAATGGTCTTCATGACAAATTGAATCTTTCACACTCCATGACCATTTGGGTTTTGGCGCCTTATATTCTAGAGTTCATCCGTTAAGTTTCTAACTCTTGAACATGTGAATGGGACCACCGTTTGGTACATTAGTTCTACAAGGACTAAGTGCATATGGATAGAATAGGAAAGAGCTTTAATACAAACTAAATGTGTTGACCATCAGAGGCTTCAGCCACTATGTAGATAGCTTTGTATTGACATATTACAAGATATTTGGAAGATAGATTTTTTCAAAAACACAGCTGAAGTGTCAAAAATAATACCACAGTGTTTAGTTTTAGATTGAATAGGACAATCTCTGACTTTAAGTGGAAAAAAAATCTCATTCTCATTGTAATCTAACCTCATTCCAAAGCCATCTGCTGAATAAACTGAGATCCACCATATAAGACACAATTTTGATGTTCTTACAATAATCTGGTTGAGACAACCGATTTACATTGGTGTTAAATGGCTTGGCTTACAGCCTGCCATGCTCTGCAGTAATCTGTGACTGTCGTTTATGTGAGTTGTTTTGTATTTTCAAACTAAACCGTTGTGAAGTGAAGCAGAGAACCAGATAGCAGCAGTTCTGTTTGTCCATGGTAAAGTGGACTGTCATGATAAGGGCTTTGATAAGATGACACAGCAAGCAAAACCTCTAGAGTTCCTGCCTTTTTGTGAATAAAGAAAAAGGTCTACTTACTACAGTTTGGTACAACAGTGAGCCGAAGTCAAAACGTCACGTCTAGATTAGCCTCTGTTCCAGTAGCTTCTGTCACTCAAAGTAACCTCTCATTTCTTTTATTATTGGTGTCAAGATGGCCAAGAAAGTTTGACATCCACCACAGCAATTATTATTAGAAGTTTAAAACCTTTGTCACGTTAACAAAGTTAAACTATGATTACTTCGTTAGCATAGAAAAGAAAATACACTTCCTATGAAAAAACAAGCGTGATTACTTCTGTCATTGTAACTTGGTTGACGTCCACATCCATAAAAATATACAGGGCTTTAATTAAAGTAACTGTGTTCGTTACAGACTCTTATAAACATAAACATCGCAAAAAAAAATTTAATGACATTGTTTTTCAAAAAACTAAACCGTAGACTGTAATAAAGATGGACGACTTGTTTATGCTTCCTCTGACTGTACAGAAATGAAGCCCAAATATCCTGAATGCGCTGCTGAAGTCATTTGGAGCCACAGTCTGCGCAGTAATGATCAGGAAGTGGAGGTGCATTATCGGGGGCCCACCCATACACCCGACTGACTCAATCGTGAGTCAGTCGCAACTGTCAATAATGATGTCGCAATAACTAATTAAAACCAAACTAATGAGAAAAAAACGAACACTTTAACTTAAATGAGCGTGATAAGAACTAGGTTTAAGTGAAAGAATCCGTCTTCGGAAATACTTATTTGATGTGCACAATTTTTAGTTTGGCTCATGTCCCATTCGCTAACATAGAGGAGGTGGTGTTTATGACGTGTACAGCAGCCAGCCACCAGGGGGCGAGCAAGATGTTTTTGCTTCCCTTATTGGGAGTTACGTCCATCTTTGCAGTCTGTGGTCTAAACTTGTGATGTGAGAAAGACTGTTCCAAAGCTAGATTTTTAGTTATCAGAGTGGTAACAAATGTCAGTGAGATGTTAAATGACATGTTCTCTGGAACAGAACCTGGAAGTTGCGGCTTCACTTTGCCTCTCTGTTGTATCTGTTAAAGGACCACACCTTAAGTATGTAAGTTTTAGTTCTTTAACTATACATCATGTGTATCACATGTGTTCTCAAGTTCTGTTCTTTTTAAAATGCAGAGTACAATTTCATTTTTAAATATATTTTTTTTATTGGTTTCCAATTATAAGAGTATAAAAAAAATTATCATCATTTTAGAGCTCTGTTATGTTTCAAATCCATCACAGCAAACACTGCGGTGACTAAATTATTCTTGTGTGGTAATGTAGTTTAATTGCAGATTTCAAAAGTCTGCACAGCATTACTCTGACAAATGAATGCGTACTTGTTTGCGATAGACTAAAGTTTCAAGAGAATCCTTGTAGACTGGAAATGAATAAAAGCTAATGAATGCTTGATGGACAAATCACATCTAAATTTCTAAAACATAGCAGCATGGTTTGCAGATGGTTAATTGGATTTGTAATAAATAGTGGTATTGTCCTTGAATGTCAACAGTTTTTTTCCCCAATCAAAGTTGTGTTGGCTGACAAAACAAGTAGCATTCTCCAAAGTATAAATGCTCTGTACATTCAGGATTCGAATGCATTTCTGGGTGAATCATCCTAACCCGGTCACTAACAATGATGCAACATTCTGCAATGAGTGCCCTCTTTGAACCAGTTAGATTGGGTTCTTTTTTTTTCTTTTTTTTTCCAGGAACTCCCCCTCCTGATTCTGCGGAGTAAGCCTGTTATATACTCAATCATCTATGGTATTTACCATGAAAAGCATAGACTGTGAAATCTATTTCAAGGAAAGCTGCTTGTTTTATGCTGCTCTTGGACGCCTCTGTCAAGGCATCCCTGTGCCAGATCTTTTTGACAATGAAAGTCAAATTCTTTGCTTGTTCTTTGACAAGTTCACATTGTTTTGAAATGTGTCCAGAACAGAGGCAGTTGTGTTACATTCTCTTTACTGGACATGCTCGTTCTGGATATCACCATGTCCTTAAAGGTATACTTTAACCCCGAAATGACCATTTGTATATCAGTTACCCTGTGTTACGTTTAATTCGTCAAGAAAACAGTTTCTCACATGCCTCCACTGTGAACGAAGAATTCAAAAAATGGAGAAATATTTTGATGGATAGGCGACCATGTTAAACAACAGCAAAGCTATATCAAAACATCAGTTTGCAAACTCTCACACAACTTGTGCAGTATAATCCAAGTCTCATATATATCCAGTCATATGCTCAGTACTTCCTTTAACAGACTGCCCTTTCCAACAGGGAACTGAACTAAAAGTGAAACTCCTGTATGCTCTCTTGAAGGCCAGACTCCAAAGATAAAATACTAATTGTTCCTTACTGAACACAGTAGCTGCTGGTCTACCACAGTCTCGATCAGTTAGTGTGTTTGTGTAATTGTGTGGCTTTGGTGTTTTAAAGTTTTAGTTCAGAGTCACCAAAGTGACACAACACTTACAAACTACTGATAGAAACTGCGCCTTTCACTTTCATGCACAAAGGTTTAGTCCTTTCTCCAACATTCCTCCGGCCTGATGTGTTTGTTAGTTGTTAGTGTTGCCACACAGTAACGCAAACAAACTAAGTGATTGAGGCAGTGGTAGACCAGCAGCTACTGTGTTCAGCAAGGTACAATTACTGTTTTTGTTAATGAAGTCTTGCTTTGAAGGGAGCGTGGATAGGTTTTCCTTGTTGTACAATTCCCTGTCAGAAAGGGCTGTCTGTTTGGGAAGTACTGAACATTCAACTATGTAAATGACACTTGGATTATGGTACCAAGATGTGTCAATTTAAAAAAAACAAAACAAAAAAAAAACATTTCCACCTTTGATTTCAATTCATTAAGAAATTTCTCAGTTTTTGGATTCTTCGTTCACCAGAGGCATGCGAGAAAAAACCTTTTCTTTACGAATTCAGTGAAACACAAGGTGAGTATATACAAATGATCACTGGGGAGGTGGAGTAGTCTTTTCAGTCTTGTATCACTGAGGTCAATATAGTTCAGAAGAAGCTGGATTGAAGCAGCTGCAGAAGTTACAAATGATGTCATCTGAGACATGGTTTATGGTGTGGTCTAATGTCCACACATTTAACTTGTTAACCTCCCGGGGGGGGGAAATACCCACCTTATATCTGTTGTTTTGTTCTCTGTGCACATCAGCCTGCACAGGGTTCACACACTGATTCAGTGAAAATGACTTTCATGCACAAAGGTTTTTGTCCTTTCTCCAACATTCCTACGGCCTGATGTGTTGTGTCACATCTGTTCAGACAAGTCTGGTTTTGCAAACATCAGCCAGCATTTAACTGAATGTGATGACGTTTTTTTTTCTTCTCTGTGGCCACCAGGGGGCCATTAAACCACACGGTTGGTGGCTCTTCCTTATTCTTTTGTAATGGCAGCTTTATGTACTGTTTCCTCAAACGAAAGTGTTACTTTTCTGTGAAATGTGAACAGTCAGAAACCACGAGGTGATCTGGCTCCTGACAGGAGAAGCGCCTGTTTGCTCTGAAAGTGTTTAAACGCAGGTTGTGCTTTTTGAGTTTATGAAATACGTTTACAGAGTGTCACATCTATGCGAGATTAGTTTGCAGTTCAGAAAAAGAATCGCATTAAAAAGCCAGTGGGAGGTTTTTGTGTCTAGACAGAACAGTTTCCTTGTGCGAAGTTCACTGTCAGTTCTTGTGCATAGATACTGTGCAATCCTCTTGTGTCATGTCTGCAGACTGAAACTATTAAAAACAACTTTCACCGTTGCTACATGTGTGTGGGCTTTCTGTAAACACACATGATAAAATTCCTTCACTATCTTGACTGAAATTGATGCAGCGATCCATTTTTAGCCAGACTAGTTTCTCATTAACGCGCATGTGCACTGCAAAATCAAGGTGGGGCAAAAAAAACTTGAATGTTTCTGACGGGGAAAAGGAGTGTAGCAGACAGAAGTCGTCTCAAATTAGTCTGAATCGGTTTTATTTCATCGCTGCAACTTATAACCAGTTAAGTTATTGCGTTTATTGTCACTTATTTTAATATTTCTAGCAGAAGAAGCGTCCAGACTGCTGAGATAAGTGTAGAAAAGTTATTTTTTCATTACATAAAGCGAGTTTTCCAAATTATGTTGACAGGGGACGCACCGACAACACTCAGCTGGGTTTGTTGAGATACGTTTGGACTGCTGAAGTTTCGGGTCACCTGAGGCAGATTTCACTTCCTCATCGGGACTTGATGTGTCTTTTGCGCTTCGACATCAACTGTCGGTTATTTATTTCGTGAATGGGAATTTGTCTGCCGTCGCTCGGATGAAATAAGACCTCGGACAGCAGCTGGATCACCTGTTATTGCTTCAAACTTTTGAGTTTCTGCCTGCAAACAGGTAAGACTTTTACATCTGAGTGGAGCCGTGGCTTGTAGATGCAGAGGCTGTTATGTTTTGGCACACATTTCTAAAACAGAGCCAACCTGTGGGCCTGTCAGCTTGTACACTTTGTGTTCAGTCAGTGAGTGACAGCTCTGATCTGAGTTTTTCAGAAATGTTAGCAGCCTGAGGCGAGTACATAATGTGTTTATCTTTACTTCCTTTTATGTAATGAGTGTAGCTCAAAGTGCTTTTATAGTGGAACAAAAACAGGCTTCATTAATAGAGATGTGATTTCATGGTAGATGTGGCCTTATTAACATCCTCCTTCAAACTTCTGCCACTTCCTCTGCCTTTCTGGGGCGCATCATGCAGCTCTCAAAATTGCTGTCACATCATGGCAGATAGTATTTATAAAGATGATAGCTGACTCAAGATGGTGCATCAGATCTGTCATATAACCTATGATCTTTGACAGTTTTTGAAAATGTTACTGACTTTGTGCAACACTTGCAGGAATGTGTGATTTGCAGAGGGGAAATGGTAATGCCTCTCAGTTTGCAATTCTCTCATCAAAGATTTGGCCAAGCCGCCAATGCACTAAAGGCAAGTGCCAAACAGAAAAAAGTTGAATGGAGCCAGTATTTGTTAGAGAGAGGAACTGAGGTCCCCTTGGGTCTGTTAGGGGTGATGCCTCTCCGGCTGAGGCAGTTTCTGAAAAGACGGAAGCCATTCTGGTGCTGGTGTAGAGCCTCTTCCATAGAGGACTCTTATTTTCGAGTGTGACTGTAAAGTAAGATGAAGCTGGTGAAAAAAGCTCATGAAACCACAGCAAAGCAAACTCCGCTACCCTGTAATGTGTCATGCATGGCTGCATAAGCAGAGCAGCATTGCACTGCATGGCGTGCACAGCACCTCAGCACGGAAGTGTCCATCCACCGCTCACACATAGCTGCTTTGCCTTACATGGTGTTTTTTGATGTGTTTAGTTTGGAAAATCATTACCTACCCAAAGTGTCACAAGTGCCAACACTTCTATTGTGTTGTTTGAACTTTGGAGCGGAGTAAAATGCAAAGTTAACTGTAATGACTGGATGCTAAATTAAGAGGGATTTCCCCCTGACTGACAATCCTTGATTTTCCTCTTCCTGTTACTCTGAAGACGGCCTTGTTTGTCAGGGCCAAGTTTTGTGTTTATTTATGATAAACAGGATGCTATTTCACTGTCATTTGCGTTCATGCCTTGCATGACAGCATCTCACAGGCAAAACTAACTGCCATCAAAGTGATACAATGACGACTTGTGCTGCAGGGCCTACCACTGGACTTGTACTTCCTGTCTTGTATCCTGCAGACAGTTGCTTCAGTGAGCAGCGCTGCTGAACCACAGTCCAGCTGTTGTCCCGGAGGCAGAGGTGATTTCCTCCTCTGAGGTTCCCCAAGAACATCTGCAGGCTGTCAGACCCAGCTGGGTGAACTGTTGGCATGTGCTCCTTCTGTACATGTCTCACCACTCGGTGTGCTGGTTTGTATTTGTGCCAGATAAAAGCTCAGGGAATATGGACAGAAATCATTGTTTCCTTCTCTAAGCACTTGGCCCTGCACCCTGCTGCTGCAATGGTGATGATAACAAGGCAGCAGCATCAAAGCAGTCGCAGAGCATCCTGAGGGTGGAGGGTCAGGATGAGGGGCAGATTTCACAGGCTCCCTACTGCACATAGAAGAGGGATGCAGGAGCATACAGCCATTAACACAGACATGATGCTCACTGTGACGTTCTTCCTAAAGGGTATCTCGTAGAGGAAGAAGTATTCAGATCTTTTAATTAAGTACCAGTAAATTAATGGAACAATAGAGTCCTGCATTCAGCAAAGAAGTATCAGCAAAACACACTTTAAAGTATCGAAAGTTGAATTACTCATTCCATAAATAAATGGCCCCTTTGACCAATATATACTTTTACAGTGGTTTCCAACTGGTGGGCTGTGGGTCCATTCTGAAAGGACCGCAAGTGACTCACAAACGTGTCAACTTTGTGGAAAACACGCTTTATTTTTAAGTACAGTGAATTTCCAACACAGCACCTTTATTTTGAAGTGCTGTTTTCTGATGTGGAGAGAGTGTATAACGGACAGCTTCTTGACAGAGACAGCAAACTAGCTTGACGCGGCTAAACACGAGTATGATACTGAATATATTAAACTGTGTGGCCCCTGAACAAATGACGAAGGAGAAATCTGGACCCCGTGGTGGACCAGTTGGGACCCACTGTATTATTACATGTTCTAATAGATTGTTAGTACTGATGGAGCAGTGTGTAAGCAGCATTTTACTGCTGCAGCTGATCAAGGTAGAGCTAGATTAAAGGTCCAGTATGTAGGATTTAGTGGCATCTAGTGGTGACGTTGTGTAGCTGAAACTTCTTGTGAGTGCCAAGCATGTAGAGAACTACGGTTGCCGATGCAAAAATGCAAAGTGGCTTATCTAGAGCCAGTGTTTGTTTGTCTGGTCTGGGCTACTGTAGAAACAACATGGCGGACTCCATGGGAGAGGACCTGCCACGTATGTACATGTAGATATAAATGGCTCATTCTAAGGTAACAAAAACATAATGACTCTTAGTTTCAGGTGATTATAAACTAAGGACCTGCGTCCACATTGCACTTTTCAATCAGAGCCAGAGTCTTTTTCAGTTGTTCCCAATGAGGAGAAAATGTATGCGCTGTGCCCAACATTTTTATTTCAGAGCACTCTGGCTTGTTTTGTGCGACCACTCTGCGTTGTTAGATGAAAATCTTTTTTTTTTTTTTGCCTTAAACACATATTTAAATGAAGCCATCTGAGATGTTTTTTTTTAAATCAGTTTTTTATTATTGGAAAGCATGTACGTAAAAAACAATCATACTTTATATACATATTTTTCTTTTATTTCATACATTTTTAAAATAGGCTTTTATGTAAACTGTTAATCTGAAATGTGACTAGTAATTCTAACTGTGAGATAAATGTAGTGGAGTGTGTAGTACGATATTTCCCTCTGAAATGTAGTGGAGTAGAAGTGTAAAGTATGGAAATACTAAGTAAAGTAAAAGTATCTCAAAATTGCCCTTAAATACAGAACATGAGTAAATATACTTTGTTACTACCCTTAACTATTTATTTGAAGGTTGCCTTGTAATTCTCTAACTTTTCAAAGACCAGCACATGATACTGTTTTTGAGTAGAAAAATGTGCACATCTGTCTACAGGCCCTCCAGCCGTCCTCCTTTCACTGTGTCACAGCAGCTTTTGCAACACCTAGCATGATCAGCATTTCCACCGCTGCAGATAGACAAGGGAGTGGCAGATTTAAACACGACCAAAGGAGATATTTCTACATTCCTGTCCTGTCTTGCTTTGTGCAGTCAGACTGCCACTGATTTTTACAATTTAGGCTACGGCTGACTAGCACGAGACAAGTCAAATGTTGACCAACCGGTTTGGTTTGAACAATAGGATTGTTGTAGATGCCAAAAATATAACAAATTGGGCTACAATCGCGACATGTGCTTTGTTTGAAGAGATAGGACACCTCGCTGTGTTAGTTGCTTTGTTAAATTTGGAGCAAGTTTGTGCTCTTTGTGCTCCTTCCTGACTTCATTCACATTCAGTCTGTCACTGAGTTTACTGGTTTCCTGTTGCTTTCAGTAGCTTACTCTATGTGATGCATCACTTCTCCTCCAGCAGACAATATTTCTCAATCGTATGTTCTAATTCACTGATTGCAATTGCTGTTGTTCGATTTTTATGAGGTTCATTGCTGGTGGAGTTTAGAAGAGAATTTCCATGATAATAGCAGAGCAGCAGACACAAGTTGTACTCGCTGAGTAAAATATGAAGTACGCTTCACATCTCCAGACCTGCAGGACTGAAGCATTGCTGCCCCTAAAGCTACTCACTGGACAGACTGACAATAATGGACTTCTCAATGAGACAGGGGTCAGTAGAAGCCCAGGGGTCAGTAGAAACTCAACCGACTCACAATGACGGCCTTGTCTGCTTCCTGAAAAGAGCAAGCTGTGGTTCCATGTAGAGCTCTCTGGAAATGGCAATGTGACACCATGACAGACTGAGTTCTGTCCCATTCAGTCAGCTGCTGGTGGCCTGCTGCTGAGATGCATTCACTGTCCCGAAAGAGAGGAATTTAAAAGTGCTGTTGTGCGTCGGCCTCGGCCCCACTGATCCATTCCTCACTTGGTGAGATCACTTTGCTCCTTCACCGAGGGCTCTGCCCAGACAGATTCTGTTGCAATTAACAAATTCTATTGTCAGAGCATCATAAGGATGATTTCCTTCTTCATGTTACAACTCATTCTGAGATTACAGCCAGAGGAGCTGATTTCTGACCTACGTCAGATGAGTTTTTGGCCATGTTAGCAGCATGACTCAAGTAACGGCATTGTAGGTTTGGTCCAGACTTTAAAATATTGGATGGAATGGCATGACATGTTGAACAGACATTTATGGTCCCCAGAGAATGAATCCCTCTGACTTTGGTAATCCCCTCACTTAACCTCCAACACCACCAGCAGGTTGACATCTGGGATTCAGAGTGAAATGTCTCGACAACTGCTGGATGGAATACCTTATTTGGTGCAGACATTCACGTTCAACTTTGGTGATCCCCTCACTTTTTGTCCATTGTGGAAGAAGTGTTGCAAGTACCACAATTAAAGAATACTCAGTTACAAGTAAAAGTATATAAGTATTATCAAGACAACCTACTTAAAGCATACAATTAAAAGTAGTCACTTACATTATTTTATACTGTATGATACTGTTAGATTATTATCATTGATGCAGTAATATGCAAGGATGGATTACTGAACAGGCCAAATGGGAGGAGGCCCAGGGGCCAAAAGTGTTAAGGAGCCCACCTGGGTTTCACCTGCAAAATGTCAAATTAACACGTTCTGATCAGATCGAGACTCAAAATGACCCCAAAGAGACACAAAAAGACCACAGTGACATAAAAACAACCAAAATAAGGTCAAAGAGATACAAAAGAACCGCAGAGATGCAAACACCATCACGAAGTCTTTGTGTGCTGCTCCTGTATTGCAGAAGCGGTGGGGCCTTTTGCATATCTGTACCCAGGGGCCCATTGTCTCGTAATCCAACCATGGTAACATGAAGCTGTGTTTTTAATGTTGTAGCCGTCTGCAGTACAGATAATTTTACTACTATAAGGTGGTTTCATTTACTGTACGTCAACACATTGTATTTTATATGCTCATAGTGGGTATTTCAAATCTTAATCTGCAAAGTAACAAGTAACTACAGTTACCAAGTAAATGTAGTGGAGTACAAAGTATAAAATAGCATAAAAGTCTGAAGACTAGAAAGGCGCTATAGAAATGCATGTTCAATTACAAAGTCCATTTAAAATTAAAATCAAGGAAAGCAAAAAATAACTTTGTACTTGCACAGTACTTGAGTAAATGTATTTAGTTGGTTTCCACCACTGCTTTTTATCTAGCACCATGTTTCCAAACTGGGGGTCGGGATATCCTTAAGGGGTCGCAAGATACATTTGAGGGACAGTTAATGGGACAGAAGAGAATTTAAAAAAACCCATTTCAAACATGTCATCGAAAAGATCCATTGTGCTCAGTTAGCTCAGGAGCTAGCTAACGACCGAACTAGCCTAGCTGCCAGAAAGAGCTAATTAGTTAGCCACCCGTCTGTGCAGGTACGGCTCAGTGTCTGTAAGTGTGTGAGCTGATGGTTGAAACTGTGTGAAATACTGGATACTTTTAGCCGTACGCGCCTCCAAAACTATTTTAACAAAACAATTTGAGAGAAGAAAATCACTTTGTTTGAGCTGCTCACGGCTTACAGGCGTTAAACCTGTGATGAGGGGTCACCTGGTGAGATTGGTTTGGCTTTCCTTATTATGAGTATTACAGTCTCAAAGAGCCACTAACATGGCTGTAGATTTTTTCACTTCCTTTCCTGTTATGACCTTCTGCACAGTGTGAAATGTCAAAGTGTAACGCAGAGATGGGCTGGAATGAGCAGATGCAAAATGGAGGTGTCCTTCCTGGGTTGCTGGGCTTATGGGCGTGGGAAATGTGTCCAGATAGACAGCTGCAGTTCTCCACAGGGGACGACATCCGCCACATCCTCATCATACAGAGTGATGACAGTCCTCTCTGGGACTCTTGAGAGCCGACAGTCTCACATTTGGTGTCTGTGAGGCTGGTCATTTATTCATATGTGTGAAGACATGCCAGATTGTGTTTAAATGGAAGTAACATGATTTGAAAAAATAAGAGCTCAGGGAGTGATATCTGTTCATGTTAGGAAGAACCCCACCCTAATATTGGAGTAATCTAAATCCGGGCTCTCATACAGGAAATAAGATTGCATAGTAATGGACATGGCACAGGATGTGACCTCATGTAAAATGTCAGATCTATCAGAGCCAGGATTTTCCCTGAGCTCTGGCCACTTCTGCATGCTGGGAACTGATACAGGAAGCGAGGAAGTGGGGTTTTGGGAGAGGATTGAGGGGAGGGGGGTGTTGAGCATTACTTAATCCACAGATCATCATTTCATTATGATGCCTCTGCTCTGATTTGTTGTGCATGTATCATGGAAACGCTGCCCCTGTGTGACTCAGGCCTAAGGTTAGAGTCGCAGTGGCTGTTTTATTGACGTAAAGAAACGCTGGGCTGGATGAGTCCCTTGGGCCTGGTCAGATCTCACCACAAGTTTGCATTCCAGCGTTGAAGAGAGCTATCTTGATTCCTACCAGGCCCAGTCATTTGGGCTTTAAGTGCGTGTCCATTTTTGGTCAAAATGAACCAGGTTAGCATATGGAATACAAAGTAGATCTAGTTTTATGCCTTGCATTCATCAGCTGGAATTTTATTCCAAAATAAACGTTGAGTATGTTTCTGAGTTATGATCCTTCAACACGGTGAAGCCTGCTCTTTATGTACACACTGTTATCCTGCGTCATGGAAACATTCTGCCTCAGTTGTGAAAGTGTGATTTAAAAAAAGAAGACTTGTTAGTTCTGCTTTCTGCATCAGTGAGTTATTTTTACTGACACTGTCTGATGTAACTCTACTCTGGTGCATTCTGATAATGGCTGAAGAGTTTACTATGAATCAACCTGCGTGCCTTCAGAAAAAAAACTCTAATTCACCGTCTATCTGAAAATTAATTTTGTGGTTAAGTGAATATCTTCGAAGCAGGGGCGGTTTCTGACTAAATTCTGTTTCCCTTCTTAGGTACTGCATGAGTGTGTGTGTTTACCAGCTCTGATGGTAGCAGCACGTCACCTGTGAGAGGACTGAACCACCTCACCATGACAGAGGTCCAGGTAAGATACGCCAGGCATGCTCATAGAAATGACCAGTCAATGGGCCTCATGCTGGCAGGAACAGCTGCGAGCTTTGAGGCCAATCTGACATAGATGCCAAACTAGAATTACAACTTCCGGGACCATCACGTGATGCTGTGCAGCCCAAAAGACTTTTTCCCATAGACTCACATTGTGAAAGAGATGTCTGTAAATCAGTGGATAATTTTATTGATTATCACAGCCCCATGAAATGACTCATTTCACTATTTGGATTTGATGTATTTGGTTCAGTAACATTTTGAAAGTCTTGAAGAGCTGCATGATTAAATCATTTTAATCCCCATTCAGGTTAGCAAGGTGCTAATCCATAAATTAGCTTAAGTCTCTAGTGTGCCTGCTCTAAGGGCCCATGGATGTGAAAGATCAGGGTAATTTTATACCCAGAAATTTTTTGGCTTCATGTGTCACTGAGCAGCTTTTATAGGAATGAATTAGCTCCGCCTCTGATGCTGTATCCAAGTCTCTTTATACATCCATGATGGGCCCTACCCAAATCTATACATGAATGCATTTCTCAGGTCATGTGGCTAGCCTATGGCGATAGGATGGTGACAGTTTTTGGCACTGAAAATAAAATTTGGCATGCTAAAGGACTGAAAAAAATTCATAGCAAAATAAAACACAGGCATTAAAAATTATTTTATTATTTCTATTATAATTTTGTACTTCCTTTTTTTTTTTTTTTTTTTTAAGTGTCGGGTTTTTTTAGCTGACGTTAGTTAACCTTAGCGCTTGTTCCAGCAGACCTCTTCCAGACCAGCATAACATCACTTAAAAGTTAACTTTAACCAGTCTGGTTCTATTTTAAACAGAGAAAAACAGACTTAACTTGAAATACTTGCTGTTCGGGAGCTCCAGGTGAACTCACGGAAGACATTTCTGTAGGCTAAAAGTGCGGTGCTGCAGGGCTTCGGAGCTTGTAGCGGGCTGTGGGTGAGCCCAGAAGAGGGAATCTCCCTCCTCTGTTAGCCAATTATATGTAAGTCACATGTTCTTTGCCCCTCCCCTTCAGCTCCTCCCCTCTACACCAAAACAGTGACAGGAAGTTGTAAATAAAAAAAAAAAACTGTCAGCGTTAAAAAAAAAAAAAAAAACAAGAAAAAAACTTAAAAAGTACCATGAAGAAAATTTTTTGAGGATTATCACTGAAAAACACACCAGAATGCAAAAATAAAATAAAATAGTTTTTTTACTTTCTTTATTTTATCTTTACTTTCGACGCAAAACTTACTGTCTCTGTCAAAAAATAAAGTTTGGTTATCATTGCTTATATTTATTCAGGATGAACATGGTCCCAGAAAGCTTTCCCCTTTTTACCTGCTCACGGCCCTGAGATACACCTCCAGAATATAAACATTGGTGCATGTCAAAACTCAGACACACAACGAGACATGTCTGTTGAGTAATTTGTGAGACATTTCTCTGCTAATTAGTGATCTGTCCGTGTTCCCGTAGACTCCATGGCCGCAGGGCACAGAGTGTGTGGCCAGGTACAACTTCAAAGGCACATCAGAACAGGACCTGCCCTTCAACAAAGGAGACGTGTTGACTATTATTATTGTCACAAAGGTAAGGTTTCATGGCCTCACTTATGTTCCTGTAAATATAGAATTTCACTTCTGAGTTCTCGTCAAATATGTTTAATAGACAAAGACACTTATTGTCTGTAGATATGAAAATGTGGAATGGCTTTGTGTTTATGTTTCCTACTCCACATTATTCATTTTAACCATTTCTGACACCTTCAGGATCCAAACTGGTACAAAGCTAAAAACTCTGCAGGTCGTGAGGGGACGATTCCAGCCAACTATGTTCAGAAAAGAGAAGGTGTGAAATCTGGAGGCAAGCTGAGTTTAATGCCGTAAGTACACAGCGTATTATGGTTTATTGAATCTATGATGCAATCTTTCATTTTCAAAAGCAAACAGGATAAGGTCTCTGTATCTGCTGTCTGCATCTCAAAAGTTGCCACCACACCAGCTTTGTGTTTGGCGTCTGCAGTGATGGTTAAAATAGCTGGGCTTTGCCCTCTTCCTATGGCTGTGTGGTTGCTGAAGGCGTATGGGCTATTTGTCGTGGCAGTGACGCTGTAGTTATGTGAATGGAGACCACACTTGGGTCGGGCTGTGTTGTAATTGCAGTGCACTTGTGTCTGTTTCCAGCTCAGCTTTGCTTAAACTCAGAGTAGTTTCCTGTTGTTTCCTTTCAATCTCAGACTGAAGTAATCTGAAAAATCTTCCCTTTTGTCCACATGATGCCTTTCAGTGTGCGCGCATGTGTGTGAATGACAGGTTTATTTATAGAACCCTTGATCACAAAATGTTGTCTGAAATGACTGCATGAAGACAAACTCCCTAGACGACAACCACCAGTGGAAAAAAACACACAAAGAAAGTTATTATGAAATATAATGTGACAAAATATAGCCACTGAGAAGACACAACAGCCATTCTTGAGCTACTCTCAGTGTAATTTACCCACCATTAACCTGGCACGGTGTAGCAGTGGTTAACATCGTTGTTCTTCCTGTGTCACCGTGGGTTTTCTCCAGGTATTCCGGCTTCCTCCCACAATGCAAAGACATGCAGTTTAGATGACTCTAAATTGCCCGTAGGTGTGAAAGTGAGCATGAATGGTTGTCTGTCTCTATGTGTGAGCTCTGTGATAGTCTGGTAACCTGTCTCATGTGTACCCGGCCTCTCGCCCAATGTCAGCTGGGATAGGCTCCAGCCCCCCCGCGTCCCCTAATAGGATTCACAGAAGCGTTTACAGAAAATGAATGACTGATGAATGAATAACCCCAAATCTTAATGTGTGTTTATTTGTTTATCGACATATAACTTTCTATTTATATACAGAACAGTGTGACTGAGCACTGTACAATCACTGTTGTACAGCAACCCCTTGTTCACAGTTGCACTGAAAAGTAATGTTACAAGAACAGTCACACTTGAGGGGTGAGAACCAGAGGGCTGTAAGTGACATTTTGGACAAAAATGAGTTATATACAGTACAGGCCAAAAGTTTGGACACACCTTCTCATTCAATGCATTTTCTTTATTTTCATGACTATTTACATTGTAGATTCTCACTGAAGGCATCAAAACTATGAATGAACACATGTGGAGTTATGTACTTAACAAAAAAAGGTGAAATAACTGAAAACATGTTTTATATTCTAGTTTCTTCAAAATAGCCACCCTTTGCTCTGATTACTGCTTTGCACACTCTTGGCATTCTCTCCATGAGCTTCAAGAGGTAGTCACCTGAAATGGTTTTCCAACAGTCTTGAAGGAGTTCCCAGAGGTGTTTAGCACTTGTTGGCCCCTTTGCCTTCACTCTGCGGTCCAGCTCACCCCAAACCATCTCGATTGGGTTCAGGTCCGGTGACTGTGGAGGCCAGGTCATCTGCCGCAGCACTCCATCACTCTCCTTCTTGGTCAAATAGCCCTTACACAGCCTGGAGGTGTGTTTGGGGTCATTGTCCTGTTGAAAAATAAATGATCGTCCAACTAAACGCAAACCGGATGGGATGGCATGTCGCTGCAGGATGCTGTGGTAGCCATGCTGGTTCAGTGTGCCTTCAATTTTGAATAAATCCCCAACAGTGTCACCAGCAAAACACCCCCACACCATCACACCTCCTCCTCCATGCTTCACAGTGGGAACCAGGCATGTGGAATCCATCCGTTCACCTTTTCTGCGTCTCACAAAGACACGGCGGTTGGAACCAAAGATCTCAAATTTGGACTCATCAGACCAAAGCACAGATTTCCACTGGTCTAATGTCCATTCCTTGTGTTTCTTGGCCCAAACAAATCTCTTCTGCTTGTTGCCTCTCCTTAGCAGTGGTTTCCTAGCAGCTATTTGACCATGAAGGCCTGATTGGCGCAGTCTCCTCTTAACAGTTGTTCTAGAGATGGGTCTGCTGCTAGAACTCTGTGTGGCATTCATCTGGTCTCTGATCTGAGCTGCTGTTAACTTGCGATTTCTGAGGCTGGTGACTCGGATGAACTTATCCTCAGAAGCAGAGGTGACTCTTGGTCTTCCTTTCCTGGGTCGGTCCTCATGTGTGCCAGTTTCGTTGTAGCGCTTGATGGTTTTTGCGACTCCACTTGGGGACACATTTAAAGTTTTTGCAATTTTCCGGACTGACTGACCTTCATTTCTTAAAGTAATGATGGCCACTCGTTTTTCTTTAGTTAGCTGATTGGTTCTTGCCATAATATGAATTTTAACAGTTGTCCAATAGGGCTGTCGGCTGTGTATTAACCTGACTTCTGCACAACACAACTGATGGTCCCAACCCCATTGATAAAGCAAGAAATTCCACTAATTAACCCTGATAAGGCACACCTGTGAAGTGGAAACCATTTCAGGTGACTACCTCTTGAAGCTCATGGAGAGAATGCCAAGAGTGTGCAAAGCAGTAATCAGAGCAAAGGGTGGCTATTTTGAAGAAACTAGAATATAAAACATGTTTTCAGTTATTTCACCTTTTTTTGTTAAGTACATAACTCCACATGTGTTCATTCATAGTTTTGATGCCTTCAGTGAGAATCTACAATGTAAATAGTCATGAAAATAAAGAAAACGCATTGAATGAGAAGGTGTGTCCAAACTTTTGGCCTGTACTGTATATCAAATGAAAGCTCTTGATGAGCTCTTCTGAGTGCCAGCTGGGTATTAGTGAACACTCAACCAATCCAGAGTTAGTAACAACCAGAAGAGTTAATAGTGAACACACTGAACAGTTTGGGGCTAAAATGGGGCTGAAGCGCTGTTACTACCTTAAAAATATGTTTTTTGATAAATTTAAATATGTTGCTCATTAAGTATATTGTCATCCACATGTTTCTTTATTTATTTTATTTATTTAACAGGGACAGTGCATAGCTACTTAGCTTTATCAGAGTTTGCTATAAGCTAATTTTCATCTGTACTGTCTGAGCAGGAAGCAGAGAATAATTTGGTTCTCACTTTTGCACTGTTCTCATGGTATATGTTGCAAATGAATGTGGGAGTAGAACGGTAAAGGGGATTTCAGGGCCTCTGAGTGAAGGTTTAATGATGTATGAAATATTAAACCCCTGTAATACAGAAAACTGCTTCAGCAATCCTCTTTCTGTAACTCAGGCTGAAGCTCTTGCTGTTTCGGTGGAGCCTTTTTCTCAGCTTTCCAATGAGCGTCTCTGGGAGATATTTGAATGTAACTTTCTCATGGAGCCAGATGCAAATGAATTCACCGTACACTCTGTGACCCTCTCAATAATAGAGCACAGTCACAGTGGATATGCAAACGACCGTAATCTATACTTTTGTTATCTCCAGAACATTTGCTTTATTTGCATTGAGGGCCAATTTGAGGATAATAATAAAACTATGGAGTACGTTACACAAGAAAAGACGAACATTTGTCAGCCTAATGTAAGATAATCTGCAACACAGCCCCAAAATGGATCCTGACAGTGTTTCCTTTGTAACCAGCTGCAATTAGGATTCAGCCTTAACTGCTTTTACACACTGATGTTGGTCTGGTTAGTAGCTCTTAAAACAGTTAGAGGTGTCCAGTCGATGCTGACAGAGGGTGTACTTTGTAAAAATAAGTACAGCTTCATGCTCATTGTAGAGGCTGTGGTTTGCAGTGTTGTTGAACAGTATTGTGCTGCGTAACTATACTGAGTGGTGTTTCTAATATTTAATCTACCCTCATTGACATAAATAGGGTGGCCAAAATATTAGAAACATTTTTCATTATCAGTGTAATGAGGTATAATTCAAGAGCACTACAAGTGTAGCTGCCACAGATGACTATTAAATAGAACCAACACTGCTCTAACAGTTTAAACTGAAACTGAACATTATAAAGTTCATGATAAGAGGATTTATTGCAGGACTGTTTTATTTAGACTGCAGTAGTTTTACATGTCTGTGCCTGATAACCTCACATCTAAGTGTACCTATAATATGCTTTGTACTGATCGATGCAAACAGAAAAAGTCTGCAGAAATGATGCTAGTGTGTTTCAGTGCTACATTTTAAAGTGTTATGAGATGGTTGGTGACATAGTTGTGCTGGACTTTTTTTAATTCTGTTACCTCTCTGGTTCCTCTGCTCTCAGATGGTTTCACGGGAAGATAACGCGGGAACAGGCAGAGCGGTTGCTGTACCCCCCTGAGACAGGCCTGTTCTTGGTGCGAGAGAGCACCAACTTCCCCGGCGACTACACCCTGTGTGTGAGCTGCGATGGCAAGGTGGAGCACTACCGCATCATCTACCACAACGGCAAGCTCACGATCGATGAAGAGGGGTTCTTTGAAAACCTCATGCAGCTGGTTGAGGTCAGACTTTAAAATAAGTTTCTGTTTTATAAATAAAACGAGGTGTTGGGCCAACACTGCTTGCTTCTATATAGGGCTTTCGTCTACTGTATGTTTCTTGTATTTTCCTGTTTAAGAGCCCCCGCGTCTTTGTACTATACCACATACAGTTCCTGGAACAAATAATGAACAGGAAGTGTCAAAGAGGAAGAGTGAGCAGTGTGCTGAGGTGCAAAGTTCTAACCTCAAAAATATACCAAAACCTTTTACTCTCAAAACGAATCATTTTCCTGTGTTGGATGTTTACTTTAAACAGCAACATACTATTTATTCTGCAGAGTAAAATAAAGTAGTGTGGGCAATTTTAAAGTAGTATGGGTAATTTTAGTGTGACCTATTTAAGGGGAAACCTTTTCAGTCATCCGTTATATCTTTTGCTGATTTCACTATACAGCCCTCTATTGGTCGTTCTGAAGCACTGTCAGCTGAGTTGTATTGCTTGTAAGCTGTGGTGCTTTTTGTTTCATGTATCTTTTTATTGAAACTCTGTAAGTGTTCAGAAAGGTGGTTCACTTGCATGCTTGAATTTTGCATAAAGCACATATTGAATAAACAGTTAACATGGTGTGCAAGCTGACAGAGAAAAGTACGCAGATTAAATCAACTGAGATCCTCTAAGAGATGTTTGAAAAAGAGTGAGACTTATCATCTGAGTATGTATGGACTTGGTCCAGAAAAGCAATATACTGTATGTCTGATATATATAATCCAGCAAGAAATTAAGTTTGTCCTTCAAAGAAAACTGGATTTTGTCCTGATGGAGGGTATCTGACAAAATAATTTGATCAGTGAAATGTGATTCTAGTGTGCTCCTGTTTTCTGGTAAAATGTTCTTTGCTTTAGTAAGGCTATATGCAGTGAGCAACCTCTTGAAAGTGGTGTAATGCCGGTGTTTCTTACTTGTTATTTATTCTTTTATTTGCTTTGTTTGTAGCACTACACCAAAGATGCAGACGGCCTGTGCACCAAACTAATAAAGCCAAAAGTGGAGGAGGGGACGGTGGCCGCTCAGGATGAGTTTTCCAGGAGTGAGTTTCAGTTTTTCAGTCCTTTACATTTTATGCATCAGCACCATTGTAGCCTTTTTTTCTGTATGAGAAGAGTGTTTCAGCTGCATGTTGTTTCCTTTTTAAATGGCCAACAGGTGGTTGGTCGATGAACAGAAAAGATCTCAAGCTGCAGCAGGTGATTGGAAAAGGAGAATTTGGAGGCAAGTAGCTTCAAGTTTAAACTGCATCATACATACATACATACATTTTTGTAACCATTTATCCTCTTGAGGGTCACGGGGGGCTGGAGCCTATCCCAGCTGACATTGGGCGAGAGGCGGGGTACACCCTGGTAGGGTTGGGAATCTCTTTGTGATAGATGATTTGATACGTATCTAGATACACGGGTTACGATACGATTCAAAAACGATATATTTTTAATACAGAATGATTCGATACGATTCGATACGATTCGATACGATTCTATGGTTAACATTTGTTGATGTAGGCATTAATCATACATTATAAAATAAATAAGCCAATTCTATAAAAGTGACATTCTTACAGTATTTTCAAATTTGTAAAAGACCACATCCCCAAGCATTTTTGCTGTATGGCACTGGCAAAAATAAAATAAAAAGTCAAACAACAAAATCACATGTCAAATGTATTTATTTTTAGACATGGACCAAAAAAAGACTTGCTGAATGAACATCATTTTGTTGGATGGGATCAATATAAAAATGAGAAGAAGTTTTAAACTTTAAGTGAAGTGAACTTTAAGTAAAATTTAAGTATTTTAAACCTACTTGTGTTGTTTTTATGGTATTGTCTGTGTTTTTGTATGTGTCTTATATGGACTTGAGTCTGGAATAAAGTTTATTATAACGCTGTACAATATAAACATAAAGCAGAATAAAATAATAACATGCAATGTAGGGGCAGAATCTGACATCTCCTGTTATTAGTTGATATCATGGACTGTGATGACTAGCAGCTTATCACTGACAGCATGTCAGACTATTTCTCTGTGTTTGCTACACTCTGTCATTTCTAAAAAGATAAATCACTTTTCTATAATACATCAATAAGCCGTTATCATGCGCCGTCGTATTTGACAGGAATACGTATTTCTGTCTGTGTCTGTGACCCCGCGTTCAACCCACAACCGGCAGGATTCGCCTTTAGTTTCTGCTGCTGCTTGGCTGCTCCCTGGTTTATCCAACCAGCATTAGCTTCTGTTCCTCATCTCCACCTGTCAAGCTGGCGCTGTTGTTTACATCCATTATCGTTGTCAGTAATGCCTGCTATGGAGCATGCCGCCGGCTCTCGCGTTGTTTTCGAGATGCAAACTGTTAAAGTCAGTCAAGCGATTGCTAGTCTCGCGATACCCGAATCCATGACTCTACAATCGATTCATCTAAGGATTCATGGCTGATTCGTATCGATTGAGGAGGCTGCTACCGACGTAGCCATATTTCTCGCTTGTCAAACCAGATATCCGTTCGTATCGGTTAATCGTTCCCAACCCTACACCCTGGACAGGTCACCAGACTATCACAGGGCTGACACATAGACAGACAACCATTCACACTCACATTCACACCTACGGACAGTTTAGAGTCACTAATTAACCTGCATGTCTTTGGACTGTGGGAGGAAGCTGGAGTACCCGGAGAGAACCCTAGTGACACGGGGAGAACATGCAAACTCTGCACAGAGGGGCTCCGTCCTGGGATTCAACCAGGAACCCCTTTGCTGTGAGGCAGGCGTAGCTGCAATTCGAGGGAGGGAACCTGCGAGACAGTGCAGTACAAAGGCTCCAGAGAGGAAGCCGATTTAGTGACATGCCGTAAAGCAAAGTTAGCGTTATGCAGTAATAGGACTTGAGTGTTAGCAGATGAAGAAGAACCAACTTTCCAGAATCTCAGAGAGAGAGCTAGAAGGAGAGAAGGTGCTCGGTGTATTATAGGTGGGCCCCCAGCAGACTAGGCCTATGTCAGCTTAACTAGGGGCTGGTCGAAAACAAGCCTGAGCCAGCCCTAACTATAAGCTTTATCAAAAAGGAAACTCTTAAGTCTAGTCTTAAATGTGGAGACGGTGTCTGCCTCCTGGACTGAAACAGGAAGATGATTCCACAGTAGAGGAGCCTGATAGCTGAAGGCTCTGGCTCCTGATCTACTTTTGGAGACTTTAGGGACCACGAGTAACCCTGCGTTCTCAGAGCGCAGTGTTCTGGTGGGATAATATGGCACTATGAGCTCTCTAAGATATGACGGAGCTTGACCATTTAGAGCTTTGTAACAATGAAACATATTTACTCATGTCCCTTATGGTTTAAGTGAAGGTTTTGTGTTTTTTGTGCTGTTGGTTTTGTATCAGGAAGAAAGGTAAATGAAACTAGACACTGATAAATGTGAGTTAACAAATCATTTTTATTGTTTGTGATCATTCCAGATGTCATGGTGGGAGACTACAGAGGGACTAAAGTAGCTGTGAAGTGCATAAAACATGATGCTACAGCGCAGGCCTTTATTGCGGAGGCTTCTGTCATGACGTAAGGAAAATATAATGATATATTTCATCACTGTGGATTTTTTCGATAGACACATGTATACACACATGTAAGCCACATAACATGCCTGTGTGTGTTTCCTCAGGCAACTACGGCACGATAACCTGGTGCAGCTGCTTGGAGTGATTGTAGAGGAGAACGGGAGTCTGTTTATAGTTACTGAGTACATGGCCAAGGTAGGTGGCAGACTGTCTGGTAGTTTGTTACCATTCAGAGTGACGTTATAAAGATGTCACATGTTTGTTTGTTTGTTTGTTTTCAGGGCTGTTTGGTTGACTACTTACGTTCCAGAGGCCGAACAGTACTTGGCGGAGATGCTCTCCTTAATTTTGCACTGTGAGTATGACTGCAATAATATCTGTATCATCACACATTATGAAGGTCGACTGTGGAATTTCTGATCACTATCAGAGCTGTGGAGCAATGTTTAAGTAGCAGATCCCCAAATTGCGTGCAGCTAGTTAATGCTTTGTCCATTATCATTTTCTTGATCTTGTTTAGAGCTAAAAATATTTATGGGTTATGCTAATATATTTGATTTAGCGCCTACATTTAATGCCTTTAGGAATATCAGTTTGGAAATATCAGTTGATACCTGGGCCTGTGACATAGGCCACAAGAACAGCTGCATGATGTCTGGCTTTCATGTAACTCCACATATTAACAGTGGGTAAAGGTTATGAACTGTGAAAGGCAGCAGTGCACAAGTAAAAGAGAGAAGACAAAAAAATAAGCTTTGGAAATGTTTCATGAAGTTTGAGATGCAGTCTATCACTTTAACACATTATAGGAGAGAAACACAGACGTTAAAGTAAAGCATGTTTATTTAGTGTATCCGTTATGATTGTCCATATTTTGTTGCATCATCTGGAAATTTGACCTGCATGTTTTTGATCCCAAGGTTTAAAGAAAAAAAGTCACTCAGGTTTTGAACTGTTTTCTTGTACTCTTGTAACAGAGATGTCTGTGAAGCCATGGCGTACCTGGAGGCCAATAACTTTGTGCACCGAGACCTAGCAGCGCGCAACGTTCTTGTGTCGGAAGACAACAAGGCCAAAGTCAGTGACTTCGGTCTGACCAAGGAGGCCTCTTCCACTCAGGACACAGCTAAGCTGCCTGTGAAGTGGACGTCCCCGGAGGCCCTCAGAGAAAAGGTACACTGTTGTTTACACGGAGTGCTACCATGTTGAGTAGAGTGCTTTGCCCTGTGTGCCTCCCTCTGATTGAAGTTAACTCTTACATGTGTGTTTTTCTTTTAATCAATAGAAATTTTCCACCAAATCTGACGTTTGGAGCTACGGTATTTTGCTTTGGGAGATTTACTCATTTGGTCGAGTGCCTTATCCAAGAATTGTAAGTATGATAATAATAATAATAATTATAATAATAATTTTAATTTATAAAGCACTTTTCATTTATAAAAAAAAAATCTCAAAGTGCTAAAAAAAATCTCAAAGTGCTAAGTATCAAAGAGGCATGTAGAAAATATTAAGGAGGAATTAGGGCTTTGATTTGAGAGAGTGATTAATCAATCAGCAATGTATTTATAGTCTAGACGAGTGATACTCTGGGCTGCGATAGGGTGCTGGGTGGTGTGCTGACCATTTTCTAATTCACAAGGAAAATAAATTGATTAACACTGGATTTTTTTCACTTTGAGTGTAACTATGGTGCTAGATTGTATTTTTTTTTTTTTTAAAAAAAGCATCAAAATAGAGCTTGTTTAGAAAAAAAGGGGCCTTGACAGAGGCAAGGCAGCTTTGTTTGTATAGCACATTTCGTAAAATTTCAATAAAAGATACATATTTACAATAAAAGAGTAAAGACAAAAAAATATATAAATGCTTAAAATAATTACCACATGATTTACAATTTTAAAAAAAATCAACTTTAAAAATAGCGTAGACTTAAGAGCTCCAGACTAAGCCCCGAATGTCCCTCAAATCCAAGAAGCTTCCTTGTGCACACCTGACCTGTGCAGGACTGGTGTGACTGAAATTGCCACTTGGCAAAGATGAGTAAGGATAGAAAACAAAATATTTTTTATTATATACAGGCAGATTTTTTTATTTGATTTTGTTTATTAACTGGCCTCTGGTCTAGTATCCCTGGTCGAGACTCTTTCCTACAGCAGTAATACGAGACAATATATAGTTTATCATGTTAGAGGGCACAGTTTCAATATAATTTTTTTTATTTTATTTTATTTATAAGGACAACGCACATTAATCAACATTTCTGTAAATGTGCCAGTGTTAGCCAGCTGGCTAATTTTCAACTGCAGTCCTTTGGCAAGATGTTTTGAAACCAACAAAAGGATAAAATTTGCATGAAAATTCACAGGACAAAGACAGCATAGAGACATAAAGACAGCATTAACTACAGCAATTAGAAACTGTCAGGATAGAACAGGAGCCATGCAAAGCATCAAGCAACAGCAGAGCACCAGTACAATACAATAGCACAACCACAAATTGCATGTTAACACAAACAGACATGCAAACAACACAAAGCGCCAACACACAGATTAGCATCACATTCAGACATGCAAAGCAGCAATACAAAGTAAACACAGATAAAACACAGTAGTCATTATGTATGGTCATATGCACTAACACACAGCCCATGTGACAGAAAGCTAGCCATGCTGTTAATAATATAGATATTGTATACATAGCCATGCAGAGTTGGCTGCCTGCATTGGGCAAGTAAAGCAAGTTAGCAGCATGTAAGCCAGAAATAACAACGACAGTGTTAAGGGAAGCAATGTACTGATTGTCCAAAAACCAGGTCTGTAGCCTTTGATTGAAGGTGTGATAGATGTCACAGTTTATTAACTCAGATGGGAGATCCTTCCATGTTTTAGAAGCTCTGACAGAAAAGCATGATTGGCTGAAGGAGCTGGATCTGTAAGGGATTACACAGTCCCCTCTCAGTGCAGATCTTGTGGATCTGTTTTTTTATATAGAACATTATAATGTGCAATACATACACTATTTAAAAAGGTTTTCTTTGAGGTAATGCACATATCAACTTTGCTCTTCTCCACTCTGTAGCCATTAAAAGACGTTGTGCCTCGTGTGGAGAAGGGATACAAAATGGACTGTCCAGACGGCTGTCCTGAAGTGGTGTACAACATCATGAAACAGTGCTGGAACCTGGATCCTGCTGCTCGACCAAGCTTTCAAATGTTGAAGGAGTGGCTACAACATATCAGCCATGGGATGGGAAAAAAACAATGAGACATCTGACAGAACACACACAATGAGTGACTTTCCTCTTCCTTCATTTTGACCACTTGGACCATAACCTAGGAGGAAAAAATAGATTTCAGAAAACTGTTTTGTTTTGCAAAGTTCACAACAAAGTTTGCTTCACACATTGTCCAGGGACCGTTAGCTGAAACTGTCAGTGTTTATGTGTCTTAGCGTCATCCGTCACCTCAGGTTGTTCAGTCTGCAGTAACTCTTCATTACTGGCTCAGTTGCTTTCTCTGCGCTCGGTTATCAAGAGTGAATGATTAACTGTCATATCGATAAGTCTGCCTCAGAGCCACAGTGCCTTGACCTGTTTTTTAAATATATTTTATGTCCTTTACGTTGATATCTTGGTCCTATTAGTAGCATTGTTACATTTTATGAACGTGCAGACCTTAACATAATTTGACTGAGTTGACTGAATCCATTGTATTCGTTTAAAGAGGCGATTCAAAAGTAGGAAAACAGTTTTGATACGTCGTCACTCGCTGTATTGTTTTTTTTTTTACAGTTTCCAGGTACACCTTGTGCATGACTGTTGAATTATTTTGTTAAAAGTTCTAAGTTAAAATAACTATAATTATGCAGCTTTATTTTTTCATTGCTATGTAATTGTTAGATGTGTTTGCATCTCTCTGCACATCAAAAAAGGAACCGCAAGTTTGGACAAGTGTCACCTTTACTACTGATATAATAACATCATTCAGCTCAGTCGTGTCGACATCATTCCCATGTACAGAATATTCCATTCGACGTCAGTAAGTGTCTTATTCTGGGAATCTTTGGATTAAACCAAATGGATCTGGATTTTGTTTGTAATGAGAAAAAGGAGAATGTTAATAAAATTACTATGTTGCCATTTTCAACAATAAAAAATAAGATATTTTGAAAATTGTTTTGCAACAATTTTTTTTTTTTAAATTTTTTTTATAATTTGTCAAACTCGAAGTATTTGCTGTTTAATGTGGAAGTAGTAAATTGTATTTAAACTTGTGCATAAATTTGTACTGTGATGTGAGTCAAAAAAGAGGAGATATTTATACTTTTTATTTATTCCTTTTTTTGGTTTTGTTACTTTCTACTTCCCCATAGATATTTTGAGTTTGTGTTTTGCATAAAAATCACCGCTCCACAAAGAAACTAGATATTTACAGCGATTAGATTAATTCAGTACAGTTAATAAGTACCAAATGTTTCTCTGTTTTTTTAAACAAAAGAATTTAGTCAAAATACCGATATACCAGTACCAATGCAGTAAGTATACAAACAAGACAACAGTGACATCAAGGGATGAGCTTTCCTATATAACAAAGGTGTGATAGTGATTATATCATTTTCCTTTTTTTTCAAATAAACAGCAAATTTAATTTTATGAATATCAAATTTAACCATAATTTTTTATTTTTTTTAATTCAACCGTTATTTAACCAGGAAGATCCCATTGAGATTAACAGCCTCTTTTTCAAGGGAGACCTGGCCAAGATAGGCAGCAGCAAGTACAAAACACAGTTACAAATTACACAGATAAAACACAAACAATAATAACAACAACATCAAAGCTATTTTATTAAAAAATAAAATAATTGTATTAAATGGGAACATAGCCTAAATTAAGTATATGTTATGTCCATGGCCAAGGAAAGTTAAATAAATATTCGTGGACATGAGCTCTTCTCTCTCAAGGCCAGAAACAAGAGAAATACGTCTCAAATGTGTGATGTCAGAGGGTGTGAGGACTGGAGATGCTCCATAGACATTGATTGGGAGACTGATTTTGGGAACCCACAGATAGTTTGTTTTCCTTTCTATACCCAAATGATCTTTACTCTGTTAGAGTGACCTCAGTTCTGAAACAGAAAACATACTCATATACCCAGCACATTTCCCTGGATGCATCCAATATCATCTATAACATCTTTTTCATCTCGTTTGAGGTCCACACAGTTTAATACATTCAGCGTCATACTTGGGTTTGGCCATGTCATCGAGCTAGTTTGTTGTCTCTGCTAAGTAGCTGTCTGTTAGTCACTCACTCTACAGCAGGCAACAGTACTTTAAAATAAAAACTCTGTGCTGGAAATTCACTGTTCTTAAAAATAAAGTAAGGGTGTTTTTTTTTTTTTTCACAGCTGTGACATGTTTGTAAGTCAGTTGTGGTCCATTCAGAATAGGCCTGTGACCCACCAGTTGGGAAACACTGTTTTTGGATCTAATGAGTAGCTCCAGACTTTATGCCTTATGACATCACAGATTTGGGATCTAGCTCTATAGATCTGGATTTGGGAAAGACTTGTTAATATCTACCTATATTTCCGGACTATCTTAAAATGGTATGTATGAATTTTGAAAATGGGTGTAGTTTCCCTTTAAATTAAGATTTAAAATAACAATAGTCACTGTCTTTGTCATATTGAGGAAAAAATATCTTTGAAGGAAGGGGAGAGTCTTGTAATTTACAGGTAAACAACGCTTTTATTTCATGTGAAGTAGCGGAACCTTGACAAGGAGTATCCACAACAATATGGGGACTTATTTCCGTGTTGCACTCGATGGTGCTTCCTTGAAATGTCGACTGAAAACAGATCCTGCTTGTTGTGACAGACGGAGGACAATTCAGAGCTCACGGATTAACCCAAGCTTTGTTTTATCTTTGTGATGGAAAATGAGGCTGATGTGTTTTATCGGCAGCTGCCAAAAGTGGTAAGTTACAAATGTTTTATTTAATATTTAGAAGAGAAAATGACTCAGAGGAGTTTAAAGACGGTAAATGTGAGCTAGTTGATAGCTAGCTACATGCTAACGTCAGCGTTTTAACTGTCCTCAGGAGCTTCATGCTCATCTCAACGGCTCCGTCAGCGTCCAGACCATCGAGAAACTCATCAACAGGAAACCACATCTCAATATTGAACACGGAATGACTGCTATCGGCAAAGGCCAGCGGAGGACTCTGGATGAGTGCGTATATATTTAATTCAGAGTTTAATATGAGTCCCAGCGACCAATTCATCATCAGCTAGAGCTTTGTAGCTTACAAATCTGTCCTCATTTCATTAAGACAATTAATCCTTTAACCAAAAGTAATGTAGAAACAAAGCAGCTGATGATATATGTTGTTTATTTGTGTTCAGTGGGGAATTAGTTGTATTCAGGCAGACAAAGGTGAGCTGACAATAGGAAGAGTAACACACTGCGCATGTCCGCAGGTGTTTTCAGGTCTTTAAAGTCATCCATCAGCTGGTGGACACAGAGGAGGACATCCTGATGGTGAGCATTGGCTGTTTGTCAGAGATTAAATCAAAGTTTTTGCCTAGAATACCAGTAACAGGTGTTTCTTTTCTTTCCTCCCAGGTGGCCACTGATGTTATAAAGGAGTTTGCAGCTGATGGTGTCAAATATTTAGAGCTGAGGAGTACACCGAGGGAGGAGAAGAACACAGGTAGGGATGTCAACATGAAGGCTGATAATTTTCATGGAGTGATTTAATGTTGTTATGGCCTCTCTGAACAGGCAAATGCTCAACTAGAGAGTGGAACATATGAATGGACGCAAGATGCAGTTTGCAGGGGGAAAAAGGCAACAAAGTTTTTTTATTCACAAAATTGAACAATACTTACAACTCAAAGGAGGGAACAAAAAGGGGTTGGAGATCCCAGCCAAAAGAAACAAAAGATGGGGAATCGCCGGGCCAGCCACACACTGGGCCGTCGCACCCAGCTCATCCCCCTAAACCTCCCAAACTGAAGCTAAACTAACAAAACAAAATCCGAAAAATGAGACTACCAGAAACCTCCAACCCAAACTAAAATAATAAAGCCCAACAATCTAATTCATGCTGTGAACTAAACGGGGAAGAAAACAATTCCCCCATGACTCCAGTGCTGCTACTGCTGTAGGCATGCATAACAAATGTTAGGATTGGCTAACACGTTTATTATCTTTTTCCTATAGGATTGACAAAAAAGAGATATGTTGAAACTGTCATCAAAGCCATCCAGCAGTGTAAAAAAGAGGATGTGGATATCGACGTCAGGTAAGCAGACACTGTTATTTCAGCGTGCAACAAGTCCAGAAATGTGTCTCGGGTGTGTGAGATGTGGCTGTGTTGGACAGGCTCTAGCCACAATCTTCTGACAGTTTGGTCAGAAAACATGCAGAGCAGTGGCCTACTGGAGGTCATTTTGTAGGGCTCTGGCAGTGCTCCTCTTGTTCCTCCTCACACAGAGGAGCAGATACCAGTCCTGTTGCAGGACTAATGCCCTTCTACAGCCCTCTCCAGCTCTTCTGGTGTAATGGCAGGTCTCATGGTATCTCTTCCATGCTCTTGAGACTGTGCTGGGACACACAGCAAACCTTCTTGTGACCACAGGTATGGATGTGCCATCCTGGAGGAGCTGGACAACCTGTGCAACCTGATTAGGCTGCAGGCACTGCCTCATGCTACCAGTAGTGACAAGGACACCAGCAGAACACAAAACTGAAGAAGAATCAGTCAGGAAGGATAAGGAGAGAGCAACTGTCTGTGGCCACCACATGCAAAACCATTTGCCAAAATCATTTGCACCAAAGCAGGTGAAATTGATTCACAATCACTTGTGCTTCCTAAATGACCACAATGATATCCCTGAAGTTTAACTGACTTGGTGTTACACTGTGACCAATAAATGTTCCCTTAATTCTTTTGAACGGTGTATGATGATTCAGTAACGTGAGTGCTGGCCACAGTGGTGCATGGTTCTCAGTGTGCCCATTTGTCCTGAAGGTTTCTGGTGGCGATTGACCGCAGAAATGGGACTGAAGTTGCCATGGAGACGGTTAAACTTGCTGAGGACTTCATGCTGTCCTCTAATGGTTTGGTGGTGGGACTAGACCTCAGTGGAGATCCAACGGTCAGTTGAAATTACACTTTTACTCTAAACATAATGCATCACCAGAGTTTAAACACCCCCCACTTGGTAACAGCGTTTTCTGGTAACAGCTGTGAATTATCCCAGTATGGTTTGAGCTCAATTGCTTTTTTTGTGTATCAAGAAAATATTTGAATAACTGTTACTTAAATTATGATGACTTAGACCCTGGTGTCAGCAGGATTTGTATATTTTTATTTCTTAAACAAACCAAAATAAAAATGATGTTTTGCTTCTATTAAACCAGTTAGGTACCTGTTAGACAAGCTGTAACATTAAAGTACCTCTTACAGGTCATGGCATATTCAAAATGAGCATGTTTACTTTTGATATTTGTACAGATTTCCCATGATCATGGAAACCTGGAATAGTCATTGAATTTCAGTCTCATTTTCCATGCCTGGAAAAGTCATGGAATTGGTTAAAATCACTGAAAATTTTTGAAAACTCATGGAATTTTTTTATGTGTAATGAAATTAATTGTTGCAGTTCTCTTCCATGGGTAAGCTTCCACATATTGTAGCAAACATAACCAAGTATAAGAGATTGGAAAATGTTTCTGTTTAGTTTTCATAGGATAATTAACATTTGAAATTTTGTCCATGGAAATGTGTGGTAACCCTGCTGGTACTTTGAAGCACAATGTACTATCAGTTTTCCTGTACATTGAAGTTATGCTGTGCATGAGTTTCCTGAAAAACAATGTATATACTCATATAAACATAATCCCATAATAACTTGATGCTTCCAAACTTCACCAAATCATATCAAAATTGTATAGATAAAATATTTAGTCAGACTAAAATTAAGTGTTTGTTTTTCCACCAGGGGGAGGATTGCTGCAGGATTTTGTCACAATACTTCTTGTTAATGTACTTATCTTAATTTTAAGGTTGGCCATGGCAGAGACCTACTTCCTGCTCTGCAGAGGGCTAAGAACTGTGGACTGAAGTTGTCACTGCATCTCTCAGAAGTATGACCTTAATAT